TGTCAAACATCATAAACAGATGAGAACAGACGGCGAAAAAGCGACTACGGCAATGAAGATATTTATTGATGGTCAGAGCCCAATCACTAGTGGCGAGCAAAGGCACGAAAAACTTGATCACAAGGGTGCAATAAAAAAATAACGGCGTACATACAATGGCTGAACAATTTACCATTCAAGCGAAGGCGCTTGCTACAAAAAAAAAATGACACAAAACAATTGACTGACTAACTTACGACAATGAACTGTACACGGATGACAATTGACACGGAGGTCATCGATTTGCCGTGCTGGGTGGGCAAAGGGGTGAGTAAAGCAAGACGCCGGAGATCAGCTGCCGCACGATATAATATAACAACGATTTTTGTAACAACTAGTCTACTAGATCTTTTCTAAAGGCATTCTGTACCAAACAATATTTTTATTTAATATAATATGCCGCTGGCATCGAAACATAAAATATTTTGTGAATAATACTTTAAATACTACCCAAACAATATATAAAATATTTTTATTAAATATTAGCTCTTAATAAATGTTGTGTTTTTTATATACTGAGTATTTACATCGACGAATAATGTAAACAATATTCAAGAGGAAAATAACTTTTTTAACAAGTTATAATAAAGATTTTGTATGAATACAAATATTTCGTACAAAAACATTGATCAAAATGTACACAAAGCTCAACAGAAATTATGTACTAAGTACAAAACTAAACAAAATAATAAACATGTAATTTTGACAATTTTCAATCTAAATAACTTGGTAAGCCAATATGCCTCAAAGAGATTCCATGGTATCTAAGAACATCACAATGTTAAAAAATAAATGATCCAATCGATATTTCCATACCTGTCGTAGAATTTCAAACTCCGTAAATTTAATTTGACTTTTGTGTTCAATTGCGGTAATTATTTTGGTATATTTCCGATGAGAGGGGTGAAGTTTTCTAATACTTTACATTAACCACAAACGGTACGTTCTATCAGCAACTCTAAAGTAATCTTCAATGACCTAATCTTATTGAGCACACTTTTAACGCTTTCGTATAAAGTATTACAAGTCCTTCAATAAGCGAATCATCTGTATAAATCGTAAATTTCATGAAGTGCACTTGGTGCAGGATTTTTTTCTGGGTTTATTGCTGTATAGCTATTTATTTTTCCAAATAATTTTTGCGGATTAAACTCTTAAGAGTACTTTTACGAGATTTTTTCTCTGATCTGAGCAGGACGCGAGTGTACGTCTCGTTTCTAGAATGTTCAATCGTTTAACAATAGATTTCTTACAATTGTTTGCCATTATAAATAGATAAAACGTTAATTAATAATTGCAAAATTGTTTAAATTTCTAAAAATCAATCGCTTAGATTAAATTTGAAAATATAATTTAAAAATTTGTTAAACTGTAAGTTATTGACACGACTTACGTCGCACAAATGTGTGTTCGACACTGGTTATGAGAGTAGAGTACCGTGGGCCGTTTATTATAGCGGTTTTATCGAAACAATTAAAGGGTTGTGTTCGCGGCGTTGTGCGACTCGAGGTCGTCCGTGGGCGTGTGTGTATAGATCCGTAATCGCCAGAAATCCACTTTTACCGTGTTTAAAAATAAACCGAAGATGGAAATCTACTATTGGCGAGGTGGATAGTATCTATATGACCGGGTGGGAAATCCACTGCTGTCACCAGTGAACTGTGTGATTGAAATAATTTGGAAAAAAGTGAATGTAAAGGAAACCTAGCTGTCTTATTTGAAAAATAAAAATAAAGTCAGCAACTGGTTTTCTTACCTTAATCCAATGTAAGACCGGTTGAGATCCTTACCGGGCAGCCAGTTGACACGACTTACGTCGCACAAATGTGTGTTCGACACTGATTATGAGGGTAGAGTACCGTGGGCCGTTTATTAAATGAGCGACAAAAGGTTATTTTAACAAAAAAATAAAACAAACCGAAAAGATAAACACAATAATCTTCGCATAATATCGCGGCTTTTTCGCTGGCGTCGACGACGCCGATGTCCGGCGCAATCCTTTTTTAGGATTTTTTAAAGGTTAGCAGCGTTGTAGGCGACGGTAATTATAATAGATTTATTAGAGAAGATTAACTAAAACTGTATGTCTTCGATTAAAAATGTGAAATAAACACGTATTTATATTAATGATATTCAACATTTTATTGAACAAAATGGTTATAAAACACATCTAATCATTTGTTTCAACTTGTTTTACAAATAATTGTAAAATTTGGAAATAACGTTTTTTTAGAAAAATAACTATAATTAAAAAAAAAAAATGTTAACTATGCAAATGATTATTTTAATGTTATTATAAAAATTATAGTTAATTATAAAATCATTGTCATTCTAAAAATCTTAATTGTATTTGAATCATATTAATATTTACAATTTTATGTTTAAACACCAAAATTTAATCAAAATACATAAATTTAATGTGGTGCAAATTAAATTTTATTGATTAACTTTTTAACATAAATTAATTTTCTTTTAATATAATTCCTTGAAAATAATCACAAGGTAAATTGTTTTTTAAAAGGCACTCAAAATATTTGCGCGTGGGGAATACAGAACCGTTTTGCGGTCTCCTATTGGAAAAATAAACATCATTCAAATTATCGAATTATTTATTTTACTGTTAATGTGACATCAATAGTAATGCATTATCTAACTGTGGTGTACCTATGTCTTTCAATTTATGACTAAACTATTAAGAAATATTTCGTCAACTTAGAGCAAACTGGCAACTAAATTGTGGTACGTCATGTTTAACGCTAGTTAGTAAACACAAAAGGCATTCTGTCGTATTCTCATCAGTAAAAGTTGTAATTGTAAATGTTTATTAATATCTGATGGTTTTTTTTCTCTGGTTCACTTTAATTTAAAAAGAGATTTTTAATAATACGATATTTTGCCTTTTATTAATTTAACATATTTTTAATAAATTCCACGTAATTAACCACTATCTCTTTTCCTTGCATGTTCCCTCTTTAACAAACTCATGTATTTTGTATTCCTTTACCCTTCAAAAATCATCATCCCCAAGTTTATGAGGTACGGGCAACAGCCTTGTATAAGATCATCCTATCTAAACACAGTAAAGTGACATCTTAATCACGATGCTTTGGTGTACATCAACTGTCAACGACTCGACGATTATCAGATAGAATTTTATTTTAATTATAAGTCTACACACTTTCTACGCTTAATATTTTATTTGACATAGTCATTTAGAGTAATTTTGTTTTACATGACTAATCTAAAAACTTTAAATAAATTTTTCTAACTTAATAGAATAGATAAATTATCTTCGATGTTTAATTTTCTTATTTTTTTTTAAATATTAATTTGGTGTGAATGTGTCTCACCGCATAGGTTGACGTTACATGTTCATAATTTTATAGGCGCCATGAATGTTGTAAATTTTTCCGTTTTGGACACATTTTTATTTAATTTAACATTTTTGTAACCTTTTAAACTTATGTGTAAATAAGTGAAAACTAATGAGATCTTGCTAATTAAAATATAATAATGAGTCTTATTCCGATAAGCATGGATGGATTTAGATTAACATATTTATCATACAAACTAAAGTTTTATTTATTTAAGAATCAATTTACTTTGTGACGTAAAAGTAATGTAGTAAATTTTCTCTGAGCAAAGTAAATTGGTAACATTTTTATTTGAGTTGCGAAAAAACTTGTCATTTCTTTCAAGCTAAATCCATTTATATAGTAATATTATATATTATATGCTATAAGTATTTTACACAAAACACCTGACTGTAATTAAAATTTCTGTAAAAGTAGTAAATTATGTGCACACGAACAATGATCCTAATACTAAAAGAGTTCTAAATTTAATAAGTTTCAAATTGAAATTTTTTTAGGTTATTAATTATTGTATATTATAATAGTTCAAGAACAAAAAAATGCTAAAAAATACTATTTACCAAAATTTGGGAAATATGTATATTATTGTCCTACATCTTAATAAGTATACTTGGTAAACGGTAAAATTTTTCAGTAATTCGTGATATATATAAAAAATGTTCACTATAATATTATAGTGTTCATAGTATGACGTGTTATACAACATCTTAACTTCTACTCCCAAAAAGCTATTATAAAATCACTATCATTTAAAAAAGAAATGAACTTAAAACGGATAAATAAATTTTTATTAGCTTATTTATTATTTAGTTTGTTTCTATTTCCGTCAAATTATTTAAATTTACATAAAAATGAATAATTATTTTCTAAAAATGTTTTAGTTTTGACCTGAAAAATTATGTTAATGTAAAAAATTAATTCATAAAAATACTATCAATATTATTTCTGTATTTAAACATTTTTAAATAGATTTTTTTAATAATTCATCACCATTAAAACATTTTTTAAAAAATAATTTAAGTTTTATATTAATTAAAAATTATTATTTTATAAATAAAAATATTCAAAACTATTAAATAATTTCTTTTGTTAATATTTACTTAGTTTTTTAATTATGATTTAAAATCTTTCGTTGCCGATATAACTCAAGTTATAATTTTGATAATAAATATACATCTTGAAAAAATTGAATGAATTCAATTTGACTTTTTTCATGAGCTTAATGAGCTATGAAGATTTATTTAAATAATGAAATATCAAGAAAATGTTAGTCATAATTGGTTAACCTATTTCTTTATCATTTAATAAAATAACGATATACATTCTACAGAAAACGCGATATTTTGACATTTTACAATTGGAAGAAAAGAATATTTAATTTATTTTTTATTGAATATCTACTAGATCGTTTTGCAACTAAATAAGTTTTAATAGTTTGGTGATGAATATTGTTCGTTCACTAATTTATTTGTCACATAGGTTGTATATATAAAAATAAAATTATAATTGTTTATTGCTATTTCACGATCGTATTTACTAACAGTTACCTTATTATACAAAATTAATTAATACATCACTTTGCTCTAGGCAATCGAAAAACCATATAAAATTTCAAATCCATTAAATTTTAGAATTTGAAGACAAGTGGAATGGGAAGATGATTTACTATAAAAAGCAAATGCTATGATGTCTAGAGTATCATTTAACAGTAGTATTTCAAACAACTTTAAGAAAAATTTTTAAGTTCTTAAAGAAAACAAAAATGAATACCTTTATTAAAGTAAGAAATTAATTTTATGATAAATATTTAAATTTTAATTTTAAATCTCTAACTTAATGATGTATTTTAAGGTGTTCACAGTTTTGACCGCATTAGTTCTCATTCATGCTGAAGAGTCTAAGATAGGTACAAAAGCTGTAAAAAAACGATCACCTGATGTAGCTGCAACAAGCGTTGGTGGTCGACCACGTTAGTACATTTAAACATTTATTTATTTTCCAATGTTCGTGTCATAGCAAGAACATTAAAGTTGAAGAATTCTTAATACTAAAATTTTTATGGAATTACACAAATGTACAAATTTAAATTCTAACTAACACTTTAAAATTATAGTACATCAAACTACTAAAAATTAATATCATTATCCAAATTTACCACTTTAATATATAAGTTTATCTTTTTAGTTACACAATTATATTATTCGAGTGATTAATTAATTATTATTTAAATTATTGTTTAATTATATATTGTTTTATTTTATTTACACAGAATATGGAAGTAATAGTTACATCAGTGGTTACAACAGTTACCAAAATTCTCACACCAGCAATCCTAACGGATACAGCTCTTATGGTGTCAACGGATACAATGGTTATAATGGGGTCAACGGCTATAATGGTTATAATGGCGTCAATGGTTACAATGGTGTTAACGGTTATCATGGTGTTAACAGCTACAATGGTGTTCATGGTTATAATGGTATTAACGGTTACAATGGTATTAATGGATATAACAACGCAAACGGATACTCTAGCACTACTGGATTAGGAAATGGTTATAATAAATTTGGAAATAACGCTATTGGTTTTGGAAGCAACTATCTAACTGGTAATGGTTATGATCAAAAATATAACACCAGAGGTTACTCAAATGGGTACAACTCTGGTTATGGACAAAACTCTTACTACGGTAATGATTTATACAACGGGAATAGTGGTTTAATTAAAGGCTACAACTCCGCTTTATACTCTACTGATGCTTCTGGTTACAGCAAATGAAAAAAATTGATTTGAAAACATGTCTAATAAATTAATTTAATAAATGATATTCACGTGTACTTTAATTTATAACACTTTTTATGAAAAATAATAAAAATAAATAAATATTAAAGCTTTTTACTTATTTATTTTATTAAATTTAAAATATACGTTCCCATTTGAAAAAACAAAGTTGACATCCTTACAAGGCACAAGGGATAAATTTAAAAAGTGTTACATAGTTAATAATTCAAGAATAATATGTAACTAAAGGTAACCGAAAAAAAAAATGCTTAAATTTTTTAATTCTATAAGTAATTGAGTGAGTTATGATAAAAAAGTCACCCTGGATATAAGGTATTCAAAACTTACGTTAAGAAATAAAAAAAAAAATTGAACATCGTATTCATAAAAAAGAAAAAAATTAATTAATACTTTTATAACCTTTTATTTTTATTTACGAGATAGCCAGAAATAGTTGCAAATCTTATTATTTTATTTTATAATACATTATTTAAGAATTATTAATTAATTAGTATTGAGTATAAGGTTAACATTTGACGACTGAGATCTTCACAATCTTCTTCTTCTTCTTCCTCGCCTTAATTCCAACTACTTGGGGTCGGCCACCCTTATCCTAAAACTTCCAGACTGAGATCTTCACAATAATTTAATAATATTTTAAACCTTCTCCGTACCATATAAAATACCATGGTGCATAGCGAAATGAAAAAAATAATCGTTTTCGTAGAGTACAGTGGTACAAAAAAATCGGTTAGCGCGATTTAACATGCCTGACCGCGCAATGACTCAGTCAAAAACAAACTGGTTTCAAATTTTTTCAGAATAACTTTTGATTATCTATGGACAAGTCTGGTAAAATTTTAGGGTTTTTAAATGAAAATTGCTTACGGCAATAAGAGTTTTATTTAAAAGATGATGAAATTAGTAAACGCTAGTAGAGTAACTAAAAAAATTTTCTGATTTTCTCAAATAATTTCCAAGGGATGAGACTGCGAGTTATTTCATGAAAAAAAAAATGTAGAGAATCAAAGCGTGTTAAGTAGTTTTTTTAACATTGGCAAATTTTTCAATTTTTTATTATATTATATATATATATATTATTATATTGTATTATTTTACTGTATATAGTAATAAATAATAATAAAATAATTGGTTATATATTTTTTTGAAAGATCAGTATATAACTTATATATTATTACTTCTTTTATTTACATCTTTTTATAAGTCAAATACCTGATGACCATAACTTTCTCGTTTAATATGTGTAATATCTCTCAAGGAAATAAAATTCCTGTCTATTCGGTACGCTCTTTGTATTTAGCATTCAACTAATTTGGCTTATTTCTTCTTAAATTAAAAAAAACAATGCACATATGAATGACATTAATTAATAATCATTACTATTTTGATAAATATGTTGTTATTTAGTGCATAATCAAACGTTGTAGACAATAGCTTTTGCTACCAATTTTTTATTCAACAAATATTAAAAGTGGAACAGATCTATTGTAAAACTCAAATAACATTGATCTACATTATATTTTACACTTTTTTTAAATCAATTAGTACTTACTTGGACTACATACTACTTTTTACTATTGAACAAAAAATTAAAAAATAATTTTTACTAACATTTTTTGAGTTTTCATGGTGGACTTTTTATAGATTAGATTTAAGAAAATATTTTGATATCATAACTTTTATTTTAATTAATTGATATTTATGTATACACGTATATTATAATTATTTTTATAATTTAAAAAAATTGTCCAGTATACGTATAGACATACATATATATATATATATTGAGACCTGTTTGTACAAATTTTAGAATTTTAAATTTTTTAGTACTCGAATTCCAGCAGTAAAAGTATGATTTAATAAATATTATGTTATTATTAACTTTTTTTTGATAAAATTAATATTTTTAATTTTATAAATGATCATATCACCTCTTTAAAAATAAAAACATTATTTTGGAACCATTGTATATCTAGTATCATAGATTAGTAAAAAAAAACCCATTTGTTTTAGATTTTTAATTGTTGCAAATTTTTTTATAAATTCAAAAATGATGTTAAGACTTCAAGGGGATCATTGGAGGGGTGGTATACCTCTCAAATAAGCAACCGATTTTAAACAGTTAGACTTACCTTACAAAACGTTAGGACATCCCGAAAAAATTTGTATTACGTCACCACGTTGCCATTAAAATGTACATCACTCATTACAGTATAAATAAATAATAATTAAAAATAGGACAAAAGATATTATGGTACTTTTATTATCGTTATAGACCTAAAATCCAAAATAAAAAAAAATCATTAATCAAGATATTCTTGCATACATAAAATAAAAACAATAATAGGCGCACCTAGAAAAATCAAAAAAAAATCGCCAGATATGCTTATGGCACTGCGTACTCACAAAAAAAAAAATTTGATCAGAATATTAAAAATCAATACATAAGTTACCAATCTCAATTACCAGAATTGTAGATAGGATGGCTAATAAAAACATAGAATTTTCACGAAAACATTAAGTTTTTTTAGTTAAAAAAAAAACAATAAAAATTAAACTTTTTGGAAAAACTTAATTTTTTTTTAACGTTCTCATAACAATAATCAAAATAATAAACTTTGAATACTAAAAACTTTAAACATATTATTAAAAAACTTTAATCAAATTATATTTTTAAACCAAAATAAATATTTTAACGTTTTAAAACTTATCACATAAATACAAAAGAAAATTATTTATTTTAAGCCCTGATAAAAAATGGTTTCATAATAATGGATCACTCAAAGCCATATATAATAAAATAATACATAAATTATATATGTAAAACTATAGATAAAATTGAATAAGATTAAGTATTAAGGTTTACACATGAAATGTAAATTACAAATTGAATTTAATATATTATTAGTGAAAAGATTTTTTTTGTATATTTTGAAATGTTAGAAATTTATTTGGCGTATACGAATATTATATCTATCTTTAATTCAATCGGTTATTAAATTTTCTATTGAAATACTTTTAATGCACATTTAGTTAAATAAAAAAGTAAATATAATCATAAGGTAGGGTCAAGTGGGGTAAATGGAAATGAAATTTACATGTTTTACAACTTTTATTAGATTCATGTAGTAATAATTTTTTTTAATTTTGGTTTAGATAAAAACTATTTAACTATATACAATATGTGTCTAACATTTCAATCAAACGTTAAAATAGTTGATTATTTTAAGAGAAAAAAATAATATAAATTTTTATAAAAAATTTACATTTGCCCCATACTTCTGCGGTAAATGAAAATAACTATTTCCAACAGCAAGTGTTATATTGAACAAACATATTGGGCAAATGAAATTGTTCTGTTACAGCTATCATTATATTATTTCATATATTCGATACCTACAAATTTCCATTTGTCCCAAATAGTATATTGTGTATGGGGCAAATGAAAATTTGTTTGAATTACACAAATTACAATTAAATTAGTCAAATAATTAGGTAATCTTTATTATTTTAACATAATTTAGTACAGTTTAATGCTTATTTACTATTTCATAAACTTTCAAAATATATTAACAGTCTTTTTGTTTTCATAANAAACTTTCAAAATATATTAACAGTCTTTTGTTTTCATATAATAGTGATAATAATAATTTAACATAAAAAATAACAATGTAAAGTAAAAATTATAAACAAAATAACAAACTAACAGCATTTTTAGTTTCAAAATATATCACATAAATTAATGTATGAATAAGTATGTAACATAGTGCCTAAACTGATTATTTTTCATCGACATTTATGTATCCAGGAAATGTTTATATCGTTTTTCTGTTCTTCTTATGTTCAGTTGGTATTGGTAACATTGCAAGAATCATCTCTAATATAATATCTGACAAGTCATTTTCAAAAATATAAAAATCAGTTCCAATTTCATTATTTTTTTTTAATCCTCGGACTAAAATATCCCCATCATCTTCATCTATACGTTTAACTAAACATACATACTTAAAATGTTGTTTCTTACGATTCCCTCCAATAAAATCTATTAAAAGAAATACTCCAGGTTTTATTTGAGACCCAATTGGTGTATTGTATAAAACTTCTTCAATACTTAAATCTAATAAATTGTCATTACAATCATCTTCTGATGAATGATAAACTACATCATCAATATTATCAATTGATTGTTCCAACACAATATTTTTTACATCTTTAATAGCTTTCTTATGTCTCCCAAGTTTACTAGGATATTTGATTAGCTTTTTCTTTGAGGTTGCTTCCTCCAATTATTTTAACACATTTTTATTTGTTAAAACTTCACCATACTTTGTTACTCTAAGACGAGGAACTTGGTCTTTTGTAACATAAATTGTATTGTTAGTTTTATATTGTATTAATTGAATTGAAAAAATAGATATTATATCTTTTGGGTTTACTGAGATATTATTACTTGATGTTGGAAAAATTTAGTCCATAAAAGTGTTTGACATTGAAGGTTCTAATGAAATTTTATTTTCTACAACTGTTAATATGTTTTTTTTTATATAATTACGCACTCTGAAGTTGAAAAAAAAATGATAAAGATCGTAATATTTCAAATTATATTTGTTATTAATATTTCCATTTACCCGAAAATCAAATTTCCATTTACCCCAATTGATTTTTATTTTGTGTTTTACAAAAAAAATATAATTCCATAGAAAAAGTGATATTAAACTAGTTTTAGGGCCGTATAGTAAATAAGTAAATATGAAATGACAATTTAGTTCAAACTGTACTGTTCTACTTATATTTTTGATGAAGATGCCCTTCTCAAAAGCCGTTGAGCAGAAAATATAATCTAAAATAATCATAAACACTTTTTCGAGTGATATCAATTTATACATATCCTCAAATTTTCCATATTATTATCATTGCACACTATTATACCTTATGTGTACTGTGGTTATAATATTACCGAATTCTATAATCACTAATAATTTATTTTAAATAATATTTTTTTCCTTTTGCCCCAATTTCCATCTACCCCACATGACCCTATATTTAAAAATTACCATGTTTATATTCTATATACCTTAAATACATATAATATATATATTGTATAAAAATTAAAATTCGATAAGTCAATTAAAACAAATGAATTACTATTAACTTTTAAGAACATTTATAAATGTATTTTTTGCTCTTAAGCTGTATAAATTAAAAATAATTGTTTTCTTTAAATAAAAAAGAGAGTGAAGAGTTTAATTTTTTTTTATTATTTAATATAATTTTATTAATCAAATAATTTATTGTTAATTTTAATAGATTGTCAAAGTATTTATTTAATAATTCTTTATCTCCAGCACAATCTTCTATTTAAAAAAGCTGAACAAACTTTAGAAATTGTACTTAAATTGTTTGTTTGTGAAATATACATCGATGTATCTATTTAATTAATCTTACAGAAATTGTAACAAAAAAGTTGAACAAAGTTAATGGGTCCAAGGTTCAAAACAAATAAACATGCATTCAGTACTTATATAAAAATTATTATAATATTGTGAAAACAATATTTGTAAAATATTGAACATTTTCCAATTTCTAAGATTATTCTGTCTCAGGTTCCAGAAAATGATAAAAATTACATGTAAATTTATATAGAAATTAAGTTAGATTCCCGAACATTTTATCAAATTGCACCTATGTTCTTCACTTTTTATGATCAAATGTAACTTGTATATTATATAAATATAAATGCATTTGTTTATTACTCTTTTATAATTACAAATACTGATGTAAACTAATCATATTTATGGTACATAACACTCCTAAAATTCGAAAGTGCATTGTAAAACCTTGAGCATTAAAGAAATTTACAGTGGGCTGGAGGTTTACTATAAAATTACATCAATTTCATATCGTAGTATCATATTAAAAAGTCTTTCAGACAACGCAAAAATATACTTTAGAGTATTTTAAACTTTAAGATAAAATAATAAACAATAATGAATACTTCATCAAAGTAAGTAATAAATTTTAATTATTATAATTATTTTTTAATTGGAGAAATAATGCGTTTAATAAGTGCTAAAAAATAAAATCTATTTTATTTCTAATTTATAATATAACTTTCTAACGCAATAATCATAATTTTGTTTAATAAAAAATTGCCACATAGAATGATTAACAATTTTACTCATCAACTTGATGAAATTTTATTTATTGTAATTTTCTTTAATGGTCTTACAGTTTTGACTCCAGTCATAGTTCTCACTTATTAAGAAGACTCCAAGAATGAAAAGAAATTCGTAAAGGAACGATTACATGATTTAGCTGTAATGATTACAGTAACTCAAAAAAAAATACAACATTTATCTGTGGGATTTTGTAAATGGATGAGGATGATTGTTGTATGTTGATGATGAGTTATATGTTTATTAAACAAAATGAAACAATAATTTTTTATGAGTACGAGGGTTTTATAAGAAGATGTAAAATATAGAAAAACAAAGTGAAGTTTGAAAATTTCTTAATATAATAATAGATTGAAATAGAGATTATAATGATTAAGAATCACACTTCAAGTATTAATAACGCCACTCGTACCAGTAGTTATCTAAGCTTGTGCTGACTGTGAGTCGTGTCAATAAATACCTCGAATAGTATAGGAACCAGAAGAGGATTCTCTATCATCAAAAGAGAGTTAATTTGTATTGACCACACAGACAAACCACTTAAAGATTGGACTAGACTGGTTAACTTCGTACAAACTTCATCGATTTTATTTATTTAAACAATAATTCTAGTAGTCCTTAATTTTTCCAATTTCCTAATTATTTTTTTACTTTTTATAATATAGCTTTACACATTATAAATCTTTTGTGAAATATAAGTTGAACTCCGTGATGTTTGAAATATGGGTAAAATAAATATACTTAATTATTTTTGTAGTATATAGTATATGCCAGACCACTCTTGCACTAGTTGTAAATGTACAACAGTTTTCAGAAAGGAACAGAATTCCTTTAGTAATTATATTAGGTTTTTATCAATACACTTTTTATGTATTTTTATCAGACTAGTTTAAAATAATCACATAAGTAATAAATGAACAAATCAATAAACACTTTTTTTTATAGATACCTTAGGCATTTACCTATTATTTAATATATTTTTGTGAACATTTGACCCTTTACCAACCCATAGGGCGGGTGTCAAAATGGCAATTTTTCCACAAAAAATTAACTTTAAAAATTTTATTTTATTTGCTTTCCTTTATAACCTTTCTTTCTTTTTTTATTACATGATTAATAAATGGTTGTTCATTGAAACAACGAAAAAAGTACATTGAACCAATATATTTTCATTGGCACTGGCAATGCAAATTTGGTAAGTATTGATTAATAAATATCGTTAATTTGTATTACGAAAGGTTGTTTTTTCAGTACAGTAATAAATTGCTTTGAATAATCTAAAAAAGTAGTGAGTTATGTCAAGTCGCTTTCTTACCTAAAAATTGTAAATTGCGTTGATTTCAAAAGATACTGTGGTGATCAAGAGTGACCTACCAGATATTACATCTGTGACTTATATCGTGAGACTTTTTTTATTGGGGCATTCTCAAGTCACGAGTGAACACCAAAATTTAAAATTAAAGATATTTCTGATAAATTTTATGATTAGAAAAAGAAAAACTATATTTTTTTTATTAGCTACTTAAACTTGAAATCAAAAATCATAAAATTTCTGTAAAACTTAATTATTATTTTTTCATTTTGTTTTAATTCATTAAAAAACACATTGATCCTAATGAAACGTTAATACAATATATAAAAGACAATAAGAACTCTTTGGATATGCGTTTTATGAAAATTCAATGAAAAAACTAAGTACAAAAATGGTTTGAAAGAGATCATCCACGCAAGTAATACAATTTGTTATTCAATTCTTGAAAATGTTCTGGGACGATTGCATTTTTCAAACCTCTATCAAATAAAAGCGTTAATAAGTACTACAATATTAAAAAATACTTTTGTTTGACTATTATTCTTTTATGTGAAATCGTCGTGTAAAAATAATTTTAATTTCTTCTAAAGTTATAATTAGATTAGTGAGAAAAAATGGGTTTTTTCAAATATTATTATTAAAAATTTCAATCTAAATTATTCGATTATATTAGATTCTCATTATTATAAGTCCATCTCAACTTTACTGATTTAAAAAATTCATAATTTATAATTATATATACATAATAATTATAATTCATTATACTACTTAAAATGAGACCTTGACATTTTTCTTGTAATTATAATTATAAACTATTTAAACTAATTTTTTGTTAAAAAGTTTTATTCATAAAATAATTAAACTGTTTTACTGAAGTTAGTATAATTTCTGGAAAATACTGTAGAATAGTTTGAAATTATATTTAAACATTAATGTTGTTATTTATGAAATTCCAAAAAAAAGAAAAGCAATATCATAGTCTTCATAAATTAAAGTAAGAAAGTGTTAAAATTAAATTTATATTTTGATTTTTTTTTAATACTCGTGTAATTGTTTAATAAAATATTTTTTTGATGCATTTTTTGGAAAATTTCGTCTGATAAAGGTTTTTATTTGATTTTGTCATTTATCTATTAAGAATTGGATTATATCTGACTATTAATAGATGTATAGCAAAAAAAATTAAATTGTTTTTAATCAAAAGGTTTTTCAGACTATAAAAAATAATTCATAGTATTTTTTGAAACCTTTAACTATCTGATTTCGCTAAAATAAAAATTATTTATTTTTTTTTTTTCATGATAAAGTATATTACATTATCTTTAATTTAAGATATATATAAAAGTGTTAGACTTTCCAGAATACCTACAAAAGTTAAGTTGAAAAAGTTGTCATTTGAAATCCCTCTCTGTGGGCAGGTTAAGTGTTAGATTTACAAAAAAAAATATACCAAATGATAGGTAATGATATTATGCATCTATAAAAAAAAATATATGGATTTGTTCATTTTTCAAAAAGTTATGGTAGTTTTAAAAAAAAAAAAATTGAAAAAATTTCGAAAATTAGCAATTTTTGAATTTGTAATTTTTTTATCGGTTTTCCCCATTTACGGGGAACGAGGAAAATTTTTTGAATTTTTGAGGGTAATATCTTCGACTAGATTTGATTTGTGATCTTATGACGTATCATTGAAAGAAATCGGTCCGGTGAGAGCTGAGAAAAAGTGGTAACAGACACAAAAAAAAAACACATCATATTAAAACCAATACCTTCTTAGCTTCGCATCAAAGCTAAAATTGTTTTATAAAATACATTTTTTACACATACAAATACACAGATTTTTCAAATTCTTGATTTTTAATGTTTCATAATTGTTCTTTAAACCCCTATATTTCTTTTTGTTTATTCTACATAATATTTATTACAATTGTCACACATAGTATTTATTTTGGCCTACTTCTAATTTAATTTTAGGATTACCTAATAATTCTTTTAAATTATTACTCATAGATGTTACTAAAGTAATACAAAAATTCTTAAAAATTTTAGTATTAAAATTAAATGGATGACCAAATTACTTTTTGTTTCCCTACAAACCTTTGTTTATTTAATAAACAAAGATTTTAATGTGGAGGTCTTCATATATTTGAATTATTTTTACCCATCAATTTAATTCATGTACAAACAGGAAATAGAGTGAAAATTGCCCTTTTTTAATTTATTCATTTAAAAGTAAACGTAATTTCAAAATTACACAACTACATAATTACAATCTTTATGTACAAAAAAAAAAATTATGAAGTCATTGAAAAATTTTTTTTAAAAATATAATTTGTATTTTCATTAAATAATATTGTTATACAATCATACATTTCATTTTATCTTACATAAACAACTAATAATGGAAAATATGATTTAAAAATCAGATATATTGTTATATAACACAAATTATACTGATATGTTTTATACATTTTGTCAGATGATTGTAATGATTATAAAGTGGTAGAAGTAACAGCGCTTACTCCATGTACCAGAATTGTAGGGGGTAAATTGTTGGTTAGTTCTGTCAAAGCATTTAAATAATTCACATTTTGTAATTCTGACCCATTAAGTTCTTTAGGTAATGGTAGATAAATATAACTTAAAGCTGTTTCAGCAGATTGATTTCTAATTAATTGATTGACACTAAAATAAAAAATGAAAATATTGGAACATTAAAATCAAATATAATTATAATAGTTCATAGAATATACCTAGATATATACAATTTACTATCACTTTTTATTGTTGTTACTTCTACTTGTGACCATTCAGAAACCTAAAATAAATCAATTTTTTACAGTAAGTCAATTTAGTAATATTAAGTATGCTAGAAATAGTAAAGAATTTAATAATAAAGGAGTTTTAGTAAAAAAAATAAGTAACTATTTTAAATAAATTTTATTAATTAAAATACTTAAATTGTTATATTAAACACAACAATACTCCTATATTTTTTAAATTTACATTAATTTATTTCTTACAGCTATAATAAAAAGTAGGTTTGACTACTATACCATTAACACAATAATAAAATTTTAAAAATAGTATTAAAAAAAATGGTAATTTAAACCTATGTAATATCTATGAAAACATAAGTAAAGAGTAGCCTTATTATAGTAACTTTCATACACAGTTTAATATCCAAGTAGATAGTTTAATTTAATATATAATGAAGCTTTGTAATTGTAATAATTACATTTTGAGATTTGTATTTTATTAAATATAATTTAGGAATTATGGATAATAATATTATTGTATTATTAAAAAAATTGATTTTATATTTTACTATATCAATCCTCTCAAAAAGAATAAGGAAAAATTTAATTATTACTTTTAATGTTATCAAAAAAATAGATTTGATAACAATTTGTAAATATGTCATTAGGAACGATCATAATATAATAATATTATAATATAGGGACATAAATATGAGTAATCATCTTAGTAAGAAAAATTCTTATATCTTTAATAATTTCTTTGATTTTTACTTACTTCATTTATAACAGCTTTTATCCTAAGTTTGTTTAAAAGTGCTTTCAATTGTACTCTTTGACTATGTACATCAACACTATTCAATAAATGAACACGTAAAATGTGTTTTTTATAGACAGCTATCATTTTAATAATACATGCTAATTGCAACATAAACAAACTAGAAGTATCATAAGCGTCATTCAAGGATGGCCCAAAAAAGTTCACTGGCCATACATCAATGTACTTATATTTTGTATTTCTATTAATTAATAAATAAAAATTAACAGTTATTTAAGGAATAATACAATTAATCTTACTTATTTATATCAGCTTTATTGTAAAGATCAAAGTGTCTACATATACATATGTTTTTATTCATTAAATTAATATCACATATCATTGACACAAATTCTGATGCAGTCAAATGTTTACCACTATTTGGTGATCTAAGGGGAAATATTTCACCATTTGCTGTGACTCCTTGAAATACAACAGTTTTATAAGCTGAATCTAATCTGCAATAGATTAAAATAATTATCCTTTTCAACTTAATTATTATCTTACAATATACCTACCTATTAAAATAGTCCAGCGGAACTTGATCATCATAAAAACCAAAAACTACGGTATTAGGTTTCATAGCTCCCATACCAGAAAGTCTTACAAGATGATGTAATCCTTCTCGTACGCTTTTTGCGACAGTTAATTCTACAAATGCCTTAACCTATAAAAATACCAATTTTTATTAATTCATTATAAAAAATATTATCTAAATAAATTTTTCTATATGAACATCCCAAGTTACCATTACTTATCATATTAAGTGAACTTTTACTCTCACTAACAATCTCCTTTGCAATATTTTTTACACATCTAACAAATTTATCCCACACATCAATTATGTTTTCCTCAACATTCCACACTGTCCTTCCCTTTATCGTCTTTAAAAACTCTTTTTCATTTTCCCCTTTTAATTTCTATTACCGAATTCTCGATTTTCCTTCTGTGTTCTTTTTTTTTTTGTAAATTCCCTTCCAACTACACCACAACTCAATTATCATCAGTCTAGGTTGTGAAGTTACACTCTCGCCTGGGAGAACTTTAAAATGTTTTATTCGCTTTATACTCTCTCTCTTCTACATAAAATAATTAATCTGTGATCTATTACTCTTACTCTAATAAGTTATATAATATTTTCTCCTCTTTCTAAAATAAGTATTAACCACAGCAAGATCATATGATACTGTGAAATCCAGGATTCTTTTTCCAGCCTCATTCTTCCCGCTAAAACCATACCCTCCATGTACTCTTCATGTACATATCTTCTCCTCTCATTACCATGTCCATTCAATTTCTACCAATAACCGTATCCTCATTACCTGGTATTCCTTGTATTACCTCATACATCTCTCTCCAAAACACTTTCTTGTCTATTTCATCACATCCTATTTGTGGTGCATAGGCACTTACTACATTCAACACTTTTTCCTCAAAAATTAATTTTACGACTATAATTCTGTCACTTTTCTTAACTACTTCTACTACTTTACTTTTCATCTCCTCATCCATTATTATCCTTAAACCATTCTTTGTATTGGTCTTTCCTGAATATATTATTTTATAACCCTCATCTATTTCCCTAGCTTTCTCTCCCTACCACTTAGTTTCCTGCTCACAACAAATGTTAACTTTTCTCCTCTTCAATACTTCTACTAATTCTCTACTTCTACGAGTTAATGTTCCAACATTCCATGTACCTATTCTTACTTTGTATGTATGTATCTTTCTCCCTTATAAACAATTCCAGGCTAGAGTAGAGTGATGATGTTCCTACGCCATTGACAAGCGTTAGGTAGACTTGTACATGACTGGTGAAATAGCTACCGCACAAATTGTCCGGCTGGTATCAAACACTTTATTCTTTAGGCCTTCTCTGTTTCAAACTACTTTATTTCCGCTCACTTGTTGTACCCGCGTACATCTGAGATGGAACAATGTCTCTAAACTTTGTTTAGGACTCCTCATACTTTTTGATAAAATTTTATGCCGGCTGTCAACCTGACGCAACCTTATTAGTTACCTCATATGATTGGCAGAGGGGTCGTGGATGTATTCTTATCCCCAATCCACAGTGGTTATAGATTAATTATAGATAAAACATTCAATTTAATAAATAAGTTAAGGAGAATTATACACTAAAAACTTATACTAAATGCAATAAAAAGTCATAGTTTATGCTTAAGAAAATGTCTTTATGGCTTAAAAATACTCTTTAAAAAGAATGACTACAATAAAAAATGTATTAAAAAAATTAACTTTTAAAACTCAAAAAACAATATACAAACTTACACATATTCAAAAATTTAATAATATTTACCCTAAACATCTTAATAAAATTGTATACCTATTTAAAACAATAAATAAACAATGCACCACTACTCAAATATCAGTCTTATAATTTCTTAAAATCTATGTTAGGGGTTATAAGAATTATATTTAAATTTTATATTACTACATGAAATTCAATCAATGTAATTTGACCTATAACGACTTCATTTAAGAAGAGATAATTTTAATTCATTAAAATATAACTAGATAGATATATTGGTGAACTAAAGATAATTTACAAATTTTATAACTTTTGATATAATTAATATTTTGTAAGGATTTTTTTTTTTTTATATATAATTTATGCATTATAGACTATGTTAAAATTATACTTTTATTATTTGTATTAAATAATAAACTACATTATAATCCAGTTAGCCAGTTTTTAGCACTTTTCTTACAAAAACTGATAATAATTTTAGGATGAGTAACTATTGAATTACAAGCATTTTAATACACAGAGTATATAGTGAGAGTAGGTAAAGATCATGCTGGTATATATTTATAAAGCATTCATCTGTGTTACATACCTACTCTATGGATTAAAATGCTTGTACTCAATAATTACTTGTCCTATAATTGTTATTCACCCATTAATGAATTTTATAAAAAAAAATTGCTTTAAATTGTTTATTTTAAAATTAATAAAAAAAATTTAAATCAAATAAAATTGTTTTATTATATTTATTATTTAAATAATAAAAATATGATTTTAACATAGTTCCAGAATACATTAGTTATTAAAAAAAAAAACACAATGAAATGTTAATGGTATTATATATTATACGAGTTGTTAATTAAATCTCGTTAAGTCTGTACATATCAATAAATATGTGTAAAGAAAATATTAAGTAATTCATTCAAAAATTTAAATTAAAATAAATAAAGTTAATCGCCTAAAAATAAATATAAATTACTAAATGATTAGAAAGCACAAAAAATGTATTTAATAAAATTTAAACAAAACTACTATTAAAATTATTCAAAAATATAAACAATATATTTGAATTATAAAAATAATTTAAAAATGCTCTAAATATTTTAATATTTAAAATCTATGATATATGAATCAGATTTTGTACTGGAAGAGTTATTCACTAGGATCATAAGAAAAAGATACAAATGTCTAGCCTTCATCAAAAATATCTTAATAACTTATGTTATATTATTAAAAATAATATATTTGAATTAAATAATTACTTTAACGTGATCAATTAGAGTTAGCCAACTAGTCATGTTTTTATCTGTATAATCCAAATTAGATTCAGTTTCACCAACTTTAACATGTCCCAATACAAATAAACCACTTTTCTTAAGATCATTAATAAATGTAATAGTTGAACATGAAGATCGTGGATTAGCTACCATTAGTAACATCTGTGGTCTCCAAAACTTAATATGACTTTTTCGAGGATCCAAAAGCAGTAAATATTTTCGTACCTAAGTATATTTCAATAATAATTAAATTATAAAAATGGATTATTGTATAAGTAAATAAAATATATAATTACAATGAAAAATATCAATATTTAAAAAATTAAAAACAAATAATAAAAAAAACAATTTTAACTTAATAAAAAAATACATAAATTATTTTTAAAAATTACAACAAATGTTAATTGTATCAAAAATTAAAAAAGTTGTCAGTTAGATTAATTCAACCTTGTATATATTATAATATAATATTTATAATTCCCCAATATTAAAGAAAATTTGGGGATAGGAAGCATATAAAATTTAAAAAGATGAAGATATTTTTTTGACAAAACTTGTTACATGAACTATAACTATTTTTTTCTTTAAAAACTATTTAAATTGCTAAAAAATATAAAAATGAATTTAAAAGTTTATAAGTAGTACAGTTTTGTGATATTTTCTACAAACTGAAGTATATAACAGCAAGGGTGTATTTAAAAGTTCAAAATTGCTTAACCTTAATTTCTAAGAAAATTTCACAAACATATATTTTTGTTAAATCAAATGGCAGTGTAAGTTAAATTATGAGTAGTTTAGAAGTATAATTTATGCTACATATTTTGCCTAATGCACTTTTGCTTAAATTTACGTATTTATATGTAAATCATACCTGATGAAAAATAAGTGCTTGAGATATTGAACCCCATTCTGTAGCTTTGCATGGAGAAAAGAAATGAAGTAAAAGTATTAACAATAAGCAAAGTCCAAAACTTGATGAAGCATAAAATGGATTTATTACAAACATCATAATAACACATCCTAACAAACCTAGTGCACATGTCCACCAGGAAAAATATTTGAAAGATGGCCTATTTGTAATAAAAATTTTATAAGTTAAAAATAATAAAAAAACTCAAAAAATTATAGAAAAAATCGCGCCTACGCTTAAAAAGTGACATGACTAAAAATTTGAATTTATTATATAGCCTTTATAAAAATTAAACATTTTGTTAAATATGCATTATATACATTGCATTCCATTTTGGAATAGTCCATCATCCATGATTGGAATTCTTATTTCCAACTACGTTCTGATAAATCCTGTAACTTTTTATGCATTGTATATTTTTTATTACTTTATTTTTTAAAAACTAATTAGAGCTATAATCATGTCATAAATATCACACTATTTATTTATTTATTTTATATTTATTATTTTACATAATTATTTTAATGGAAATTATTTAAAAAATGTTCTATTAACTATTAATGATAGGTTTATTAAGATTTAAAAAATCATTGAATAATTTTATTACAAAAATAATTGTAAGCCTTTATTTTTGCACAATATAAATTTTTTAATACAATAATACAAGTACTTCTTTTATCATATACTTTTAATACTTTTCTATCTTCTCAAATGAGCTTAGCTTTATACTATAAAATAGATTAAAATTTCATAGGATAAAATTCAAATTTTTCCCAAAATTTAAAATGCTTTTAATATTTAACCATGAAACATTTAAAACAGATTTTACTATCAAGTTATTTATTATAATACACTCTATAAAATGGTTGTCTTAATCTTTTTTAAACATTTTTGTAATTTTTTAATAAAATAAAAGATATATTTTTTTTGGTATCATTATAGTCCTAAGCTCCAACAAGTTTTTAAAAAGAAAGTAATGAAAATTATTCAGCACATCTAAAGTTATAAGATATATCAGAACCTGTATAGGTGAAAAATAAGCACATATCTTTGACATTTTTAGATAATACAATTATAAATTATTTAACATGTGCCATAATAATCTGAAATATTATGATTTTTCATTTGTTACTTTAAAAGGGTAGAATCGATATTAACAAATGATAAATTAATAAAAAATAAATTATTTATATTTAAGCATTCTTATTACTTTTTTCACAATCTTCAGTTTAATATAAAATAAAATATATAATATTTAAATAGATACCTGAAATTAGGAGCAGATGTAAGATCTAGACCAAGACAAGTCAAGTTCAATGCAACATAAGCAAGCAAAAATAAAATTGAATTTAACTGAGCAATTGCATTAAGTGATCCAATAAACAGTATAATTTGAACAAGAATCCAAGAAAAGATTACAGCAGCTATAGGATTAGAGTGCCAAACTCCAAAATTCACAAAATGTAATAATCGTCCTTTAAAATATTTAATTTATTATTGTTTTATTTTTAACCAATTTTAACAATAAAATTAATGAATAATTTACCATAAATATAATCTTTGGCCAATGCTTCAAGAACACGGCTAGAACCAATTAAACAACTGAGACTAGCTGAAAATGTTGCTGTTAGTATACCAATAGAAATAAAAGGAGGCCAAATGTTAATTGGCATTAAAAACACATAATTTTGCTGAAGTAGCTCTCGAGAACATGTAGCTGCTATAAATATGGATAAACTAACATATGATGTAAAAGTAAACAAAACTCCTCCTAATGTTCCTCTGGGTATACTGTAAGATGGATTTTTTAAATTTCCTGTAAATTTAATCAAAATTAATTTCTATATTTTTTAATTCTAGTTTCTATAGTTTAAACTTACCAGACATATTAGCTCCAGCCAAAATTCCAGTAACTCCACAGAATAATACACCAAAAACAGATGAAAAAGTAACTGCTATATTATTAGAAGTGTAATCAAAACCAAATGCTGGATTTAAGTTTTCAGTTAAAGTAGCCAAACTTAATCCAGTATAGTTCAACAAAACTGTATGATTGGTAGTTTGATTAACAAAAATATTTGCTGCTGGAACTTCAATCTAACAAATATTAAATAAATATTAATTAAAGATATTACAGTTATTCAACTATTTATTTTTACTTGTAATGGAGGTTTAAAGAAAAAACTTAATATTGCAGATAATAAACATATTACAACAATAGCAAATATGGTTAAAGTTGTTTTAGCAAATAATGATGCCCCAATTAAACAAATCAATAAATTAAAAAAATTTAATGAGGTTGCATATGTAAATCTCCACCAATGTCCGTCATTTAGAATATAACTATCTTTTGGCATTAAATAGCCTGAAAAAAAAACACAATTGTAATTATTCAAAGGTTTTTGATTCCAAGAAAGAAATAGTAAGTGGAAGTACACAAAAACAAATATCAATTTGAAAACTTTTCAAACTTGATAATATATAAAATTTTAATATATATTTTACATTCAACTTATTTGTTTGTAATATTTACACTTAGTTAACTAACTAAAAACAGACAACCAACTAGTTATAAAATACCAAAACTTAAATTTTTGTTTACCAAACTCAGTTGATAATATGTCATGCTTCAATGCATAGGTTCCTGGTTTGATTCCTTAGACTATGTAGGTTTATCAATCCTTTCTGGCAGAATCAATAACTTAAAGAGGACGTTAAATATGATTAAATTATTAAAACTATTTTAATTAGTAAACAGAAAAATAAATACTGCACTACAAACGATAATGTACAATATTTTTTTGTTTTTAATTAAGTATCAAAATTTCATATTATAGATTTTTAAAATAGTAGTATTAAATAGGAAGGAAATAATTTTTTTTCTATTGGATATTAAAGAAGAAAAATGGCTATCGATTTACTTCTAACTCATGATTCAATGTAGGCTATATAAATTTGTTTAATTAAACTAAAAAATGTTTTTATTAAGATTTTTATAATTAAAATTATAATTGAATTACTTTAATTTTTTACAATTTGAAAAAAATGTATTTTTTTTTTTAAACTTTAATTCTTTAAAATCCTTATTAACACATATTATAAAAATGAAACTTAAACAATCAAGTTTAAAAATAAAATATGAACTAGTTTTAAATTTTTCGATAGATGTTTTCAAGGTTAGAGCATTTTAATGGATTCAAACTGTTGACAATTTAACTATACCTGCTTCACCAAAATTGTCTATGAGACCTTCTACACATCCTACTATACATAGTGCACTGCTTACTATATTTGCAAAAAAAAATAATGTTCCAATGGATCCTCCAAGTTCAGGTCCTAATGTCCTACTTATCATAACTGTGTTTTTATAAGGAAGTATTTTGATGAGTATTGTTTAATAAATCAATTAATTGTTAAATATAAAAAAAAAACATTTTGTCGGAAAATCTTAGTTAGACTAAATTATACTAGTAAAAGGATACAATAAGCACCACCGCCTTCAACAGCACCATTGGTTGATATTGCACAAACAGACATCACAGTAAAAACAATTATCACATAAGCTATGGCAAATTGAAAAAGGGTTTCAATTAAACCTGCATTACCAACAACAAATCCTATATATTTAAAAATAATAGTTATAATAGATACACATACTACTGATAAATATTTGACAATCATTTGGCTTATTAAGTCCAGTTCATACCCACTCGGAGAAATAGTAAAGCACTGAACATAGATAGACATACAGGAGCAAACACTCCAGAAAAAAGTCCTAATGTGCGTCCACTTGTTGCTTCATTAATACTTCCAAATTCAACATAACCATTTTTGGATGACTCATCTACATTACTATTTTTGATTGAAAGCATACGTGAAAAATAATCCAAAATCTGTCGGCGACGATTAACTAATGGTATTCTTTCTCCAGGATTTCCAGCATATGATACACTGGTTGATGATGAATTAGCATCAGAGGAATTCATCATACTAGCAGGAGAATGCTATTATAACATACTAATTTTTTTACAAATTTGGTTGACAATATAACAAAATATTTGACACAAAATTAAAAATTGTGACATTTAGCTACACATATGACTTTTAAAGAGAATAATTACTAATCATTCTTAATCAATAAAAAAAATAATTATGACTAAACAAATAGATTAAAAATACAAACTCCTATTGTTTTATAAAAAAATTGATGATGTCTGTCTTTTTTAAATCGTTATCAGTGAAGGTTGCATAACATTTTTGATTTGATAAATTCTGGATCACAAATCTTTTGACGTTTTTGGACGCCGCCATTATTTAAAATTATTCATTAATTGAAATAATTAAAACCTTTTTACTGAACACTTTTCAGTTGTAACAAATTATTAACATTTTTATTATAATTTTTTTTAACCAATAATGTCAATTTTTTTAAAATCTTTTTATTAAAATTAATAGGACCGTAAAAATCAATTACCGATAAGAATTGATATGCTTATGATGTTAGATAACTAAGAGATCTAATATTTGCCAATCATTAATAATAACTAGGCATTGATACTAATTAGCAAAAAAATTTTGATATATACGAAGTTGTTATCGGCCAGTAATTTTCTTAATTAAATCATTTATTATTTTATAAAATACTTATATATATATATATATATATATGTTGATTTAAAAAAAAAATAAAGTTAATATTACGAGGTGTAAGGATGAATTAAAAAGGTAATTAATAATTAATAAATCGCAAAATTTATGAAACAAAAAAAAATAATAATTTTTTTAACATAATTATTATTTTAAGAAAAATCTAGTGGCTATTATAAACAGATAAACATTATGATTAATATTATGAACCCGCGTTCATCAATATAATAACCATATTTTTTTAAAGTTCGTTATATTAATAAATGTATTTATTAATTCTAAGAAAACGGTTATTAATTAGAAAAATAACATTTTAATTAATAATCCCCTTTTTATATTAAATAAGATTGCTTATTTATATTAGAAAATTAGCTTCAATGCAAAGTTAAAAAGGTAAAGAACACTGTGTTTTTTTATGGCTGTCCATTAGGTGGTCCATATTTGACCAACTTTCAAAACTTTGAAAATTGTTTCACTTTTTAAAGGTATGGTAAATAAAATGTTGAATAAACTTGAGTGTTCTAGAAAAATCCCTTAACGTGTCACCTCAAAGAGTTTAAAAATTAACAGTTATTATGTGTATTTTTTTTTAAATAATAAAAATAATGGGTAAATATTTACAATCAATCTTGTAGGAAACCAATATAATATAAAATTGATAATATTTATATATTTTTTTATTTTTAATCTATCTCTTTACTCGATGTGTTTTTAAAGACAAATAAGGGCTAATTATTTTAGTTATTAAAATAACATTTATAAATAAATAGGAAATAACCAAAAAATAAAAACAAAAGTATAATTAAATTATTTATTGCGCTAATTTTTTGTACAAAGTTTACTTAAACGCAATTAAAAATTAAATTATTATTTTCAACAATCAAATAAATCATAGAATAGAAAAAAATAACAAAATTTTCTACATTTAAGAATGTGCTATTTGTCATTATTTTTCTAAGTTAATTAAAATAATAAAATTGAAACAATAAAATAAACACATTAAAAAATAAAGTAGACAAAGGAAAACAATTTAACTAAAGTCACAAAACAAATTGGTATAAACAAAAGCAATACATTATTTATACATGTATATAATAAACATATTTTAATGTATAAAAAACTCAACAAAGTGGTAATATTAAATTAATGTTTTACAATTTATTTGTTTGGTTATATTATTTATTATGCATATTATAAATACTTTAATAGAATGAACAGTTAATTTTACAAAGATTTTTAGTATATTCTCGAATGATGACATAATAAATCAATGAACCCTCAAACTAAGTATATGTACAAACAAATTTGTATAATTTTAATATCACTTTCTGATAAAAAAAAGTTAACAATTGTGAATAATGTTTGATTTATTATGGATTATTTTTAATGAAAATTTATTTTAAAAGAAATTATAAGTAATCAGCACCAAAACAAATAAATAAATAATTAATTAAAAATCAATAATGTATAATAAAACTATAAAATAAACAAAAATTTACTATACATAATCATAAATACAACTGTGATTATCAATTCTTTTAAATTTTAGTTATAATTTTGATTTCATAAAGTACAGTATTTTGTTCTGATTACAGTTTAAACAAGATCCCATAAAAAAATAATAATTCAAGATTTGTTTTATAAGATTCAACCAATGTATAAATCATAAAAATAATTTGAGTTTTTATTCATAACACATAAGTTTTAACTTCAAGTATGAAAACTTTTTAACAAAAAATAAATAATTATTTTTATCATGGCAATAGTAAAATTATACATGCATTATTATTTGTGCGTCTTTACATAAATCTTTTGTAATTTGATGATAGAACATTACAACTATTACATAGTTTAAAAATACCAACGTGTACAACTTATTTACATAATAGAATGTGAAAATTATACTGGAAACATAATAAACTATAATTTTGTATTTACATATAAACGAATAAGTTTTTTTTTTAATTTAACAAATTATAAAGCCACAAGGCTAGGACGAAATTTAAATCTGGCAATAATGTTTAAAACATATTAATGAAATTATAATGAAAATAAAAAAAAAATTGTACACTTTCTTAAATGGTAGTTCAATAATTTTTTTTTTCAACATTGATCATGAATTATTATTTAGCACAAATTGAAAACTGTTACTAGCCAAAAATATAGAATAAAGTAGATATTGAAGAATATCTCAAATTTAAAACCTAGATATGTATGTATTATGAACAAAGAAAAATTATTATTTAATTTACAGGGTTTAATAAATATAATTTTAAAGGATCATAAACAGGAAAATTAAGAATATTGCTATCATAACAAAGTTTAGGAAATATTTTAGTTAAAAGTATACTTGCACGATAAGGAATTATAATTGAATATTAATGGGAATAAATAAAAATTTATGTTATCACCCATTTAATACATAGCAATCTTTTTGATAAAAATAAATATTTGAACTATGATAGTAAAATTTTCAATTTTTATTATACAATCAAATAGTGTATACGGAAACTGTGAAAAAGAATTGAATGATAATTAAAATGTATGATATGATAGTTTGCAATAACATAAAAAATTAATAAAATGTAATTTTTGACTTCTTAAATAAGAATAACAAATGTTTAAATAAAAAAAATTTTTTTTAATAATTCTGATTTTTTATACAAATTTATAAAAAGATATTTAAGAATTAGATAACTTATTATTATCTAAACAGGCATATTTTCAGTTAAGATAGCAGCTGTGATAGTAGTCATATAAAATTTCCAATTTAGATGGTAAATTTTTTTTAAAACTTACATTTCAAAATTAATTTATAGAATTTTTTACTAAAATCATAATTTATTATGCTATTATTTATTTTTTTAAATAGTATTTTATCATGAACATGGTCAACAAATTCAAAAATCATTAAATATTTTTATAATCAAAAATAATTTAATTTTGTCAGATTTTTTTTTTATTTAAATTTTCATTATTTGACATAAATTGATTGGATTTAAAAAAATTAAGCATAAATAATTATTTATGCATCTCATTAAAAGCTAATTTTTAAAATCTGATGTATTTTTAAATATTTAAACAATTTATAGTTTCAATATTTGTTATTCCAAATTTAAATTTTATGTTGTATCCAAAAGGTATAATACAAGTGGTTAAAATTTGTTGACCCAGATATTAAAATATAAATATCATAGCGATAAATGAAGTAAAGAACCAAAATAAAATTAATTGACTCTTAATTTATAACAATAATATTATCTATGTATAGTTTACATAAGCAGTAAGTATTAAATTTGAATTCATTAATATAATTATATTAATTAGTTTTATGCACATAAATAAAAAAATTGATAATATATTAAGATGGTACCTAGTGATATTTGGTATTCAATTTACCCTAATAAATATTTTACTGGTTCAAAAAAATTATTAATAATAATAATGATAAACATAATTATAATTTGTAATAAACATAATAAAAATAACAAGAAGTTCATAAAGTGATGTTCAAATAAGCATTTGGGACTTGAATATAAATAATTGGTATTTTATAACAACAGAATCACTTACTTATAATAAGTTGTTAATAAAAGAATAATTTTAAAAACCTGTGTATATATGTGAGAGTGGTTGGGGAGAGATCATAGTAGCTCGTACTGACGTAGGTGCATCCTTTGAATGATGTCACGGCAGTCATTGAACACGCGTCTGATGTTTTCTGTGTCAACAGCGCAAGTGAAATGAGGATAACAGTAATGTTTACCTTCGCCACTGGCAGTACTAATACGCTATATCAAAAATTTTTTTAATTTATCAAACTTAAAACAACTTAATAAATAGTTTTTTCAAAAATACATACAAGGAACTCATCTCTAATAAAATATTTAGCCCTAATAACTGGAGGATCCTCTCCTGGATCAGGAGTAGCATCCATTGGCGTTTGGTAACGAGTAAATTCAGCAAAATAATCTTCTAGCCGTGATTTACCAGCTTTAATTTTTTCTGCCAATAAGTCTTGTTTATTTAGAAACAATATCACTGATATAGTTCTCAACCACCTATTTCAAAAATAATGTAATATTAAACATTTTTTCATCAATATATTACAATCTATAAATTACCTATTGTTCCAAATACTTCTAAACAGGTCTAAAGACTCACGGAGCCGATTTTGTGTAGGGTCTTCCCTTAAGACCATATTGTAACTACTACAAGCTGTTACAAATATAATGGCAGTGACATCATTAAAACACTGAATCCATTTACGCCTTTCATCCCTTTGCCCACCCACATCAAACATACTGAAATAGAATACAGTATAAATAACTGATAATGTAATATTTATTAAATAATACTCACTGAAAGTTAACTTTTTCTACTTGAAAACGTGTTTCAAATATACCAGAAGTTAAAACACGACACCTAAGTATGTCCTACACAAAATTAAATTTCTTATTAAGTATTTTAGATTATAAAATTGAATATGGTAAATTTCTTATTATGGAGTTTCTTGTCATATTAGTAAAAGTTACAGATATTTCTTGTTCGATACATTATTTTACATTAAATTTTTTAGGGATGTTTTGGCAGAATGAGTAATATAAAAGTGCCTAATGCACACTTTACGGGTTAGAGTCTTAATCTCAGACGATTTCATTTGCTAAACTAGAGTTCAGCTTGATAATTGGAGTCTCCATTCCTTTCTGCCAACAAATATCCACCCGTTGAGGAATATATAATATTCATAAACCTCCTCTTAGGGGACACTGTAATTATTTCTCATGGGTCCATAAATGCATACAAAAAAAATGTATATAATAATTTCTTTTTTTGAAATTGAATCTAGCTAAGAATAAAAAATACCACTGTTAATACTATTAATGACATAATGAATGAATTCAGGATAAATGACAAAAGTATCTCAAAATTTTTTTTGAAACAAATAATAAGTTTATTAATAAAAAAAATCATACTTAATAAGCTAATAACAATATTGATAGACTTAATTTTCAAACATTTTATTTTTATTATGATTTATTCAATTTAAATAAAAGCATAATTCTAGCCCAAATTATACATGGATTATTTCAACTCAAGGTTACCCCAAGAATAAAACTTTTAAATTCCCTGACTTACACAATTTTTCAGATATTTTTTTTTTTAATTCAATACCTCACAAAGGTATATCATTTTTAAGTAATGGAGGGTGTAATTTATCAATTATTCCCCATTTATTTTATTTATTAATGAATGGTGGGGATTTAATATAAAGTTACTTATTTTCTTCATCATTCCCTTACCTCACTTCAATAAAAATTTATAACAAGGAATATCCAAAAAAAATTAAAATATAATACATTTTGACTAATATACTATTGTTATCATTCTATGGTATAATTATGTTTAATGTAAATGTTACAAAACAATAACATCAAAATGGCTAATATTTCATGATTTCCCTAACTATTATAAAATATCATGAGTTTTTAAAATTTTACATATTTGTGGCAACCATGTACCTAAAGTGAGTGTATTTTTATTAGGTATTTCCAATAATTAAGATATTAACATACCTTGAAAATGAAATAACACATTGTGCACTAAATTCAAAACATTCCCCTATAGATTTAAAATGTAATTTAAATACAATTCATTTTAATAGTGTTCATTTATTTAGGCTATAAATTTAGGCTGTTCAAATTTTTAAAAATAATTAAAATTTTATCTCCATTTAATTTATATTCATGTAATTAACTTTTAGTAAATCTTTAAACACATAAATTTTTTAAAATAAAAATTACCACTGCAAATTTATAAGCTATATTTTTGTTATCTATGACTATCAAATTTTTTTTATAAATATTTAAAATAATATAGAGTGATATATACAATATCATATAAAATATAATACCATTTTTTATTTTTAGAAGTTATTAGGTATTCTACGTTTTATAGTTTACGAAAAAAAATTTAGTCATATCCCACTTCTTCCCTCTTAAAGTTTTATTACCTCAAATTTTTTAATGAAAACATATTTATACTTAACTAGCTTAAAAATAAGAGAATGATCTAAGTAAAAAACAACTCATTAACAAATATGACCAGTATTTTATAAGTTTTTAGCGCATAACCATAATGATTGCATTCATTTGTCATTTGTCATTGATCTTTTTTTATTAACTTTATTTACTAAAAATAAGAATATTTATATTATTTGAAAAATATGTATAATTTTTTTTTTTAAATTAAATAAATTAAAATTCATCAGCTAGGTAATGGAACTCATTAACAGTTTTTTTATAATTTATTATTTTTAATAATTTTATAAAATAATTTGACAGTTGATGTATTATTTATTTTATTTTATTATTATATAATTGGTACTTTTTTACTAAAATATCTAAATCAAAAGTACTGTCTTTTAATACTCTAAATTAAAAAAAATAACCTTATTTTAAAAAAAATTACCTTATTTCAAAACCGAGCCAATGATGTGATTAATTTTTTAAATGTCTATATGTAAATTTATGAAATTTGAAGGAAAGAGAATAAGAGTTCAACCTCATATGATGAAATTAATTAAATATTTAAAATATAATACAAGGGTAATAAACACAATTTTAGATAAAATTCTATTTAAAAAATGTCAGCTAATTTATTTAAAAAGTAAAATTATAATCAATATCAAAATAAAATTATATTGCAAAATTCACTAACATAAATAACTTAAAAAACAAAATAAGAGTTTAAATATTATAATTACTTGTTCGGAAGGAGTATAATTGGGTTGCTTAATAATGTGTACTTGATCAAGAAAACTAAAAAACAAAAAAATTATATTTTCATTATATATATAAAAAAAAATATTAATTTAATTGTATAATATAATGTATTCTATCATTATCACACTTTATGACATAATTTTGAGTGGAGAATAACTAGTATAAACATTTTTTAGTCAAAGTGTTTTTTTTAATGTTAGCAACTTAATTTCTCTTAAAATAATCATTTTTTGAAAAAAATATTTTTGGTATAATTCTTAAATGTGTACACTAAGCCAATACTTGGAAAGAAACTAGCCAAGTGTTAAGCAATACAAATAAAGGAACAATGGTGTTTATAAAAGCAAAATTAAGTGGGAAAATCAAGTTGATTAACAATATTTTTTTTAATTTAAACTTAAAAAAAATTATAATGAAAAAAAAAATTTAGTGCCTTAACTTTTACATGAATACATGAATAAATTGGCCTCTAAAATTCATTGTTCCTCAATTTTCTCATCCCTTAATACTTATTTATTATAGTTACAATTATTTTATATATAACAATGTAACATGATATGTGTACATACTATTTTGCACAGTCAATGAGTTGATATTCATTGGATCTTTCAAAACAAGTTTGGACACCTCTATCTTTCCATAGAATTTCAGTGTGTTCATAGAATTCCTATTGATAATAATATTTAATTTAGTAAATAAGTTTACTAAATTTTACTGCTTTTTATGAATTTATTTTTAAATATTAAATTACTGTTGTATATTCAAAATTATGTTGAGAGGCTACATCTTGCATGTAATCGACTCTAAATTGATTTTCTGGATGTTCTAATTGAACTGGTGGGGTTAGAGTACTCATTGCACCTGTAATTGTCTAAAAATAAAATAAAAGTTAATAATAAAATATTGTGATCAATTTTTCAATAAGTTATAAAATAAATATTTACCAAAATGGCATCTCGTATATTTTTCTTTATATCTTCTATTTTTTGCTTCTTTTCTCTAAATTCAAAAAATAATATAAAATGTATAATTGAATCTAAATTTAAATAATCAAACTAAAATAAAAGTATATAAAACATACTCTTCACTAAAGCCATTAACATGCAATATTCGCATTTGTTTGACAATTGTGCTTTTACCAGATTCTCCAGCACCTAAAATATACAGTTTAAAATAATAATCACTAAAAGAAATTTATTAAATTGAATTGTGAATTAAAAGTATTTATAAGATAACAATGTTAATTACATAATACTTATGGCAACAAAGCAATACTATAAAACATAAAATTATATATTGTGCCTAAATAATATTAATTTGGCTCATTGTTTAATTAAAGCAATTAACATGTTAAATAATATGTAGATTAAGGTAATATTTTTCTATTAAATTGAAAAATTCTTCAATTTTTATAATATTAATATGAAGTGATAAATAAAATTAATTATTATTGATACTTATGAATAATATTATACAAAAATTATTATTAAGTGTATTTACATGAAATAAAAATATCATATTTAATAATTGAATGATGTTGATTTTTACTTTAAATAAAATACAATTGTGATGTATTATTAATGCAGTTTTGTATATGAATGAAATGCCAAAGAAATTTCAATAAAATAAATTTGCTCAAGTAAAAATATGTAAAAACACAAGTAAATTGTTTCTGTTTATAATACTCAACACAAAATTGATTTTCTCGGTGTCAAAAGTATAATACATGCATTCATTATCAGTTGTTTAGAATAACGCTTGTTTACCATTGTTTTTTTTAACTATCTTATTTTGTATATTTCAGATTTAAACATTTTTTACTATTGTAGACAAGCATATTACTTTTAGTACAGAGTATATGGTACTAAGGTAATAGTTGTTTCTTTCTCTTTATGACAAACTCATTACATGAAAACAATAGTATTCTGTCAATTAGGCATTACTTATCATAATTTTAATTAACAGTAATTCCTATACTTAAACACAATATTCATATATAATAATGTGCAATATTAATTAAATTTTTGTAAATCTCACAAAAAAACATTGGGGGTTTTAATTTTAAATAATAAATATTCATAGTTTGAATATATTATTAGAATGAATACATGAATGCTAAATTTAGTTGATAAAAATGAAGTATGCAATGATTGATTAGTAAATTATACTATCAATAATAATGACTTGATAAATTATGTATATAATCAAAATGAGAAGCAATATAATCTAAACAAAATATAAAAAGTTTAATGGATCAAAAATATAATGAAAAATATTATAAATCCAAAGATAGTTGTCATTACTGTTAATTAAAGAAAAATTTGGAACCCTAAATGATGATAAAACCAAGAACTAATAAAATGTAATTTTATACCTACAACAAAAAATTAAGTATATCTTAAATATAAAAATGAATATACGTACATCTTTTGGAAGATGTGAGTAGAATGTAAATTTAAAACTAACCAAGACACACATTTGGCATTTATTCAAGTTTATATTTTTAATCAATTATATTATGTATTATCATACTAGGTGAATAACACAGAATTGCTGTCACATGGATTTATTAAAAAACTTTGTTACAGGGAAAAAAAGGAAAAAGTATTTAAATTATTAATTCTAATGACCTGATAATCATAAATAAGCCCAGAGTATATATTAACCAAAAACTCTATATGCTTATATAAAGAGACCAAATTTTTATTATTGAAAATTGTTTTTTAAAAGTTTCTCATAATTAGTATAAAAAGTTTTAAATTAAAACATTCAAAATTCTGTTACAAAAAAGGCTCATTGTTAAAACCAATTGCTAATTATCAAACTTAAATTTGTATTTTATGGGTTCAAAACTTAATTCTTAAAAACCATCAATGTTTTCAATAATTTTTTTTTCTATAGAGAAAAGATATATAACCAAAAATTTTAATTTAACGTTTTCAGGTTAAATTTTGAAGATATAAAATATAAATATACACCTACAAATGTTAGTATAAAGTCATTTAACAAAAAATAAGATATTATTAACATACTAATCAATATCAACCAAATATTAAGACATAAGTACCAACTAATTTTCTAAATATTATATATCTCATATTACAAACATTAATTTCAGCATAGAAACTTGAAAAGAAAAGAGAAAAAATTACTTTACAGATATAGTTTAATCTATACAATTCAAAATTTATAGTTTAACACAAATATATCATTAAAAAGAAAGTATTATATGCAATTGTATTTACATTAAAACTTACACGAGACTAAATATTCTAATCAGACTTAACACACAACAGTTATTTAATACTCAAATTAGCCTATAGATGAATTTGATGTACAGGATCAAATAAGACATGATTTTAGTTAAATGATCAGGAACTATTTTCTTTGAATTTTATTAGAAGCAAGGTATCAAGATAATACTGTGCTAATATAACAGCTCAGCATTCGCATAGAAGAGCAAATTTCCTTATCACTACCTCATAAGATTTATAAAAAACATCTTTTATATACCGATTTACTATTAATGATAAAATTTTTAAAATAAAAATTATCACAATACCAGGACTTTTTAATTGAATTTTCCGAGATTACTTACCTAGTAACAGTAATCTGTGTGTGGCCCTATACACCTGTTTGTCCTTTTGCAGCTGCTGGTTTATCTTTTTGTTCGTCTCCTTGCCCTTTTTCGCATCGTCGTGGTCCGTCTTGGCCGCGGCGCTACCAAAACACCCCATAACATTAGGCCAGCCTATTTTTGTGGATTTCCGGCGTGAGGGCGTCTGCTGCTGCTGCTGCTGCTGTTTTCGCAGCGGTTGCGGCGGGGCGGAGGCCAGAGCACACGCACTTATACGTCGCGGCGATTTATGTAATTTGAGTGTATATTACTTATTTATATATCTATAAATATATACGTGAATACTAAATGTCTCTAATACATGACGAATACGGTATCTTATATTAAAAGACATGTACCATGTAGTCTAGATACATATATTATATATGTACATAACATGCATGTATATGTATACAAACACACACACACACACAATGTATTTATATTAAAAGATTCATAGAAATGTAATAATTGGTTACGATACCATACGCAAATGCACTTAATAAAACACTAGGAAACGCGATTTTTTATTAAAATTCGCGCAATTCGATTTCGATATTCGATCGCACCACCACACGATGGAGACGACGGCGGCGGCGGCGGCGACAACACCACTCTAGAGCGGTGGCGGCGCGTGCGGACGACGGACGACGACGACACCACACACAGAAACTGTTTTACACACACACAGACACACAGCGCGCGCTCACAGCCACTAACTCGCGGCGCGCACTCACACACAAACGTAGACACAGCCGACGGACAGACGGCGCGAGCGTATACCAATTGGGTTGCGGTGCGGTGAGGTGTATATGTGGTGTGAGTGTGTGTATGAATGTGTGTGTGCAACCGTATATACGACGGCCGGTCGCCGCCGCCGCCGCGTATGTAATATCCCGACACGGTACTATACAGCAGTTCTGTTTATAGGAGATACTACGAAAATGCGGGGGGCTGCTGCTGGTACCAGTGAGCGTAGCTCTGTTATCTCAAATGTTCATAATACATATCTCAAACACACGTATTTAGCGTGAATATACAAGTTCATGTATAATAATTGCATCCTACTACTATTGTAAGTGAACACGGCATACTTTTCTAAATACTACCGTGTCATCATATCCGTCTACTATTTGGCTTTGGCTGTCGTTGACGGCGTGGTGACAGTTAATTTTCAATTTTAATTAAAAACAAAACTTTTTTCACTGAATCCTTAATATTTAATCATCAGTTTTTGCAAATAGTCTAAAATTAATTTTTACTAAATTATTCGTAAATGGTATCAGGAAAATCGAGTTAACATTTATAAAAATAACGCCAATAAATGCATTTAAAATTTTTTTAACTAAAAACACATCTCTATGAATCATTATTACTAAATGTAACTTTGTCGTTAATATTAAAAGTTTTTCACAGCGTTGCCTGAATCGCATACAGGTTATTTGCTATACGCCAGGCACAAGTACCTAAAATTCTGTGTTATCATTTTTGACCCCCGAGACCGATAATACTTTCAACTACCATTTCTCTATCATAAAATCAATTCCTTAAGAAATTTGTAATGATTGATGATAACTCTTTTCACACTGTAACCACAAGCGGAAAGAGTTCTATGAATTTTTCTAGGGACAAGGTTTTTGTCGACTTAATTTTAAGAATTAGCATTTTATTTTTTAAACATTTTTTTTTTTAGTTAACCGTTGACAAATATATTTTTTCATATATATTTAAAAAATAGGGTTTCAAACCCCACGATGAAAATAATAAAAAGTAATAAAAAGTTGCCCAAGTATAATCATTCATAAAAAAAAAAAATCCCGAGCATACCACCGGTGCACATTACTGTGCTGCCGAATTGTTCTAAATTAGAGAAAACAAAAGCATGAAACTTATCCACTATTTTTTCATAGCCCTTCTACTAAATTGCTAAAAACTTTAGGTGATTAAAATAGAACAGATAAATTGAAGTTTGGTTTCTAAGAAATTAATTTCTATCATCCTTTAAAAATATAATAGGAATAAAAACTTGAGTTTTTATTCATTTTTTTTTTTATTTTTAAGATTTATGTTTGGTTTAGTATACTAATAATTTTTTAAACTTAATAAAATTTAAGTAAATGTTTGCTTTCGAAAAATAAATATTTGCGCAAAATTTATATTTATATATAATAGGAGTTCATTATGATTTTTTGATTGTTACTTCATCATAGATAACAATTATGGCGTACTCAGTTGTTTTTTTTTTTTGTAAATTAATGACATTTTGTATAAATTTGTTTTGTACACGATTTTTTTTTTTAATTACATTTTTAAAATAATTTCGGTTGATATTTTCAATGCAACTTAACGTAATTCGGTCCGCTATATTAATAATAAAAAAAAAAAATCACTTAGTGATTATGAAAAATGATTGAAATAACGAACATGAATTAATAAAAAATAATATGATTATTTCATAAAATGTTTAAAACGAGATTTTCAAGTATGAAATCTTGTTGATACTAATGTAATTTTTAATAATATTAAACTTAATTCATTTTATAAGCCCTTGGGTAAAATGATGAAAATCCACAAGACATTACTTCGGATTGGATATACTCGTCGAATTCGGAGCTTAGTCACAGCAGATCCCGGGCGATCTAGAGTTCGCACGAGTTAAGGTGGCTAGTGGGAAGGGTAGTATGGTCGGGCAAAACGAAAAACAATGCTGAATTTAATCACGCGTTAGTGGATTTTCGTTCCAAACAATAGACGAGAGGGTGACAATAGTGAAGCTACACTGCGTACCGACCGCCAGAGTGTCGTCTACAAGTGCTCGTCTATGAGACATTTTTTTATTCGTCGAGGACAATATTTTTACAAATCATAATATGTACGCACATTCTATTACGTACATTTTTTGTGTACACTTACAGTAATCTCGATACAAAAAAATACATCCCGTGAAACAACGTTTTAAAATTATCACCGGTGGTCGATAACTCCTTCAACGCTATCTATGTAAGAACGACCAAATAAAATGCGGTGGCTGTAATTTATTGTTCGCCTACGGCTACATCCGGCCGCTCCGTCCCGTTTGAAATCTTTATGCGACGGGCGAATATTTTTAGAAACAAAGGCTAAAAATGGAACCGTCAAAATTATTAATATTATCCGAGTTTCTTGGTGGGCATTGAAAAAATAAAATAAACGAACAATATTATTATCTCCAAAAACCAGGCGGGGCTCACGTCATGTTTATTAGCGGATTTGAATTCAAAATAGTACAGGCGCAGAAAATAATTGACACCAGTGTAGAGTATTGTCGATATTAACTTATTGTATACATATTTTATATATCTTTAAATTAAAATTTAATACAAATCAATGATTTCCATTGTGTATGATTTTATTTGTATAATTAGATGAACATTTTGATACGACATTTGACTGCTTTTTAAAATAGATAACTTTTTTTAATTAAAACAAAATTATGTTTTAGCATAAATATACTAGGCAAGGTTTGATCTCTGATTGAACTAAACTCCGCTCGTAAACACCCTTAAGAGGCGTTGTATTTGGCCTGCAGTCAGAGACATTATCAGTAGGAATAAGGTTGGGTAAAGGAAAACTAAGTTTCCATCGACTCAATCATTTAAAATTTCAAAAAATTAATTACAGTTCTGAATTAATCATAATTTAATAATTTTGTTTATATAAAGATCAATTAAGTCTTCAAAAATATATTAGGTATACCTAAAGCTATACAGCTATAAGCATGAGTCTATGAGGAGAAGCTTATATTTTAATTAAAATATAATATTTAAAAGAGTATAAAGAGAAAAAATTTCAAACAATATGATGTGATTAAGATATTGAGTCTTAGGTGAAATCTGTGGTAAGTCAAAAAGGAGCCTAGCACCCCTAATTTTATTACAGCCCCCCAAAATTATGAAAATTACATATTTATTTATATAGAAATATTTCGAAGATGGGAAGAAATTAAGTTAAATCCCTAAAAATTTTTGTTCAAATTGTGCCTATGTATTAAGTACTACTCAAAGTGGTACTTAGTGTAATATTATAAAAAATATTTTTCTAGAGCTCTAAATTTTATGAAGCACTCTTGATAAATAAAGTGTGTTCCAGCTACACTACGACAGACACTTAAAAAAGATTAATATAGAAAAAAACTGATACTAATTTTTTGTAAAAAAAAAAAAAATCGTGGGTATTAAAATTCAGGGAATATAATAAAGCCTTGGGATGCTGAAGTTGCCTAATGGTTGTGCCGCTGAGTAAAGGTTACTTCAAAATTTAGGTTCGTGGACTATTTGTTATTTATACCAAGATTGCATCACTATGCATAATGAAACAAGGATTTCATCATGGAAGTTTCTATATTCATGGTTTTTTTTATACAATACGTCTGTTTTTGAACGTTTACTCAGTTGTACAGGTCAGGGCATAAGCCAGTGAACAATTTCAAGTAGGGTTTAAATTTTCTTATGTAAAAACTAGATATGTATTATTATGAAGTATGTGTATGTTAACACTTGACAAAAAAACGATTTTTATTTTGGCGGAGGTGCATTTCTGGAAATTTGTCAAGGGTGCAACTAAACATAAATACGGCCCTGGTATAAGTGTATAGATGTTGATCAATGATTTTAATTCTTGTATTATCTTCAAAAATAAATATATCCTCATTCTGCGTAATGATAATTACAGTGATACCACAAGCTAAGTTAATGTGTACCACACACTGAATAGTTACTGATAAGATAAACACAAAAAAACCACGCGACTATAATAGGAGTATCATGATTATTAATAAAAGATAATTGATCTGTAAATTATAATATCCTTTAAAGGAACTTTTTAGTAATAATTTTGATCTAGCTTAATGAATTAATAATTATTAATTATGGAAGAATTCGGTGGATTTAAAGGTAATAAGTTAATGTAAAAATTCATTGTAACTTTTTCAAATGTATTCAGTTTTTCCTTATTTCTTATTGGAAACTATTAAAAAAGAAAATAATTTTTAAAAATAATGGGATATAAGATGTACATTGTACACACTGTTATTAAAGTTTCTACAGTAATATATATTTATATATAGTTGATTATTTAAAATAAATTATGAATGTACTTTCACGAGTAATTTACATTTGTGCATTTAATTTAAACACTTTTAAGTGGCTTATTTTTTTACTATTTAACCATTTATAATTTTTAAAAATATTAACATGTTTAAAAGTAAATTTAATAATATATTAAATATAAATGTAGTAACATAATAAATTTGTCATTGTATTTAACTTAAAACCTCAACATGACTATTGAGTCATTAAATTTGAACTGATGGGTTATTATAAAAAAATAATTAATAAAGTTAATTTTGTATAAATAGTACTTATTGCACAATATTTTTAGTTAAATGTTTATTTCTTATAAAAAATATAGTTTTTTAAAAGGAAACTCTTAACTTATGTAATAATACTATATGTTGGTAACAGTCAATTATGTACCATATAATCTAATATTTATTACAATGAAAATATCAATATTTTGGTAACAAAACTCATTAACAGATATTTTTGTAATTTATGATTACTAACATTTAATATATGATTATATAATTGGTATTTTTTATTGTATTGTTTCTTATTTAAAATTACTGTCTTATATAGGCCTTATTGGTCTATATGGTGGTAAAAACAAGGTATAAAAAATATTAATAAAGATAACCATTACTTTGTTTCTACATCAAGTTTTTGAATGTCTAAATGTAAATTAATGAAATCAGTCTATAAAATTTAAATGAAACATTATAAGAGTTCAACCACCTATTAGTTCAACTTCAAAATAAGAATCAAACAAAATATCATACTTTTTGGTTTAGATGGTGTAATATTGGGTTGCTTAATAATGTGTACTTTATCAAGAAAACTAAAATACAAAAAAATTACAATTTTATTTTAGTAGAGAAAGACGAGTATAAACATTTTTATTTGAGGTGATTTTTTTAATGTTAGCTAATAAATTTCTCTTAAAATAATTTTTTTGAGAAAATTATTATATTATTTTAGTTTTTTATTAATCTTGATTCATGAATTATTAACTACTTTTATAATTTATTCCTTTTATAATAACATTGACTTTAATCTTTCCAATTGCAACATACATTATTAACTAGCTCATAAAATAAAAAAATTATCTAATTAAGAAAATGACTGGTCAATAACAATTTTTAACCCATTATTTGAAAGTTATTACCATTTTTAAATATAGATTGGAAGTGAGGCATAGATATGATAATATTTATCATTAAGCATTTCTTGACAGCTCCCTTCCTCCATAAAAATAAACACATTGTAAAATTACCACATTTTTAGCTTCACATCAAAACTAAAAATTATTATATAGAGAAAAAATAGTATATAATTGTTACGTTGCTATTTAGGAATTGAGCCTAAATGCCCATCAATAGTACTCTAAGGGACCAACAGGAATAGCTGGCTAGGCTATATCTACCTTAGGTACTGAAGTTTCCTATTTAATTTATATTTCCTTAGATGCAAATGTGATCGTATTAATAATGTTAAAAGAATCACTTTATATAAAATGTATTTATGTTATATGTTTTACTGTAGTCTTAATGCATTAATAAAATAAATTTAATGAAGGCACGAGATATTTTCTCTTCTAGCTAATACTCAAGTTAAATATATTCACATTTGCTAATTGCAACTAGAGACTTTAAGTCTGTGTTTGTTTATTTATTATTAATTAAATTTTTTTATAAATGTATTTATTTTATTAAAAAAAATATTTATATAATGAGTTATAAAATATATTTCAATATTAATGATTGGAAAAATTTTTTATAAAATTATCATTATGATACTTTTGAATATTTTTCTTATTTTAAGTTCAATATTTATTAAAATGAATTCCTCATTATTTGAAAAAACTGAATTAAAAATAAAACCAGGTAATAAATTTTGACTATTTTATCAAAACTTTATTTATATAGGCTAACATTTTTATTTAAAAGTATTAAAATGTCTTTATAATTGTTATTTTTTTTTTTAACTTAACACCTGCTTAATTTTTTTTTTAAGCTCGTTTGCACTTTTGTTTAAAAATGTTAAATATATTTAAAGATTTAAAAGTTTGTCACACGCATTGTATTACCAATTATACATAGCTTTGAATAACATAAATTTAAAACTATATGTATTATTTTGAAACCTTAACGTTCACTAATTGTAAATGAAATGGTCAAATAATGAGTTCAAACATAGCATGTAATACATTTATCATATTCACTAAAATATGGTCATTTGTATGGAAAACAGTTTCACAGAATAAATTAGGATTTTTATTGCAGATATACTTCTAACTTAGTATTTGTATAATTTGTTATTATTTAAATATGTAGATTAGTATAAAGCTACTGTTTAAAATAGCTTTAACATAAAATTCTGTCACCTATTAGTCTTATTAGTCTTCTTCTATTGTATTAAATAATAAAGGTATTGCTTATGTTACCATAACCTTACAAATTAAAATTCAATTATTTAATAAAACTATTAAGGTTACTTTTATTTTTAATGAAATATAAAATGTTTATAAAATATTACTATGGATAGAAAAATAAATTAATTATATAAAATTAATTTTTACTCTAAACTATAATTGACATTGTTTATTTATGGCTGATCTGTTGTTATACTAAAACACGTTACAATTAACATATATTTGGATGCATAAATCTCTTCAAAAAGCTGAATAGTTTTAATTTGTCATTGAATATTGATCCATTTTCTATAAGTGTTTTGCAATCTATTTTTATATTTGAGGGTGGAGATGAAAGTTATATATATTGAGTAATTCATTCATTTATGCAGAAATTACTGATTTCAGCAGTATATTAGTGTATGCTTGTGCTCCATTGAATATTTGTTTATATCTTAACCTAATTATGATTCTTATTAAGATTATAATAATATAGTAAATGTAGTTTTTTACAGATTTTATTATAAGTAAATTACATGCATAAATATATTACTTTTTTCATACTAAATAGTATATATAAGTTAAAAACAGGTAAATTTTTGAGAACAATAGGAATAATGAAAACTCTTTTTCCTTTATGAACATACTGTATATATAAAAAACATTTTTCATAAAATTTTATTTCTGTATTAATTTATTTTTTATTACTATTTTTAGTTCTACCATTTAAGATAAATGAAAAATCAAAAGTAATTCGTCATTTATTTATGAAAATGCATTTAGTTAGAGAAAAATGTCCTCTTAAACCTGAATATCAAACTTTATTTGCTGTTGGAATTCCAGAATTTTGTGATCATGTAATTTTTAAAAGTATTAATAATATGTTAGATGTTTTCTATTTAGATTAAAAAAATAATGAATTTTTAAGACAGTAGTATTTTTTCTTAAATTATTTTGTGTTATTAATTTTTTTTTTTTTCAGCAAATTATTAAACTTGCATTCCGCCGCTGTGGAAAAATTAAAGATATATATTTTCATAAAGAACCTACCCCGATTGAACCTGAAACACTGCCATCCAAATATTTTATTCCTAAGACAACATTGGTTTGTTTAAACTTATACAATATATCAAATCTACATTTAGTTATAATATTGAATATTTTAGGGTTTCAAAGTAGCGTATATAGTTTTTACACATACATCAGGACTAGAAAATGCCCTATCATTAGACTGTACTGAAAATAATCCATTAATACTGTCAACAGCTACTTATCAATTAAAAAATATAACAAAACGTTAGTGAATTTATTTTTTCAAAAATAACTTTTAAGAAATATCAAACTAGTTTTCAATATTGTTGATTTTTATATTTTTAATTTTAGGCTGGTGCCATCTTTACAATGATAATATTATTAGCCCGACAGATGTGCAAAAAGAAATTGATACATTTATGTTAGAATATGACAAAAAAATAGAAGAACGAGTACATGCTGAGAAAGAAGCAGATGAAGAGGATGTTGAAGGATGGAAAACTGTTACAAAAAGGTAAGTTAATTTTTTACGACCTATAATATTGTCTCTCAGATCCATAGAGTTCACTTATTTTAATATTTAATCGTGTATCCAAAAATAAAGTAATACTAATTTTAATCTTAATTGTTTAAATTAAACTTAAAATCTAAAATGTATTAAATTATTACTTAGGGTCAAATGTAATTGAATGGGATAGTTGTAAATTCATTATTTCTTTTAAAATTTTCAATAGATATTACTTAAGATAAAAATATTCCAAACATCAAGTATATAATTATCTATATAAGTATGAATAAAAAATAAACATTTAAGCTATTGATTATATTTTGCTGTTTTATTTTTTTTGCATCAGTAAACACAATTAATTTTCTTCTACTAGACCAATTTTGTTAAAAAATTTACAAAACATCTTGATGAAGTTATTAATACTATTTTTGAAAAATTCATCTCAATCTAGAACTCCTCAAATAAAGAAAAATGTTCCAAAAAATTACAATTGTTACAAACAACCTATGTTAATATTTTTAGTTTTACTTTACATTGGAATAACTTTTTGGAATTGGACAGATTATTGACAAATTTTAAATTACTGACAGTACCTAAATATCAAATCAAATTTTTTTCCTTATCAATTTTTGAAAATGTTCTAAAAACCTGACTTGTTAAACTTGCAGTAAATTGAAGAACATATAATACTAAGCTAAAAAATTGCTTCAGCTACACTATGTTAGTTTTTGAGAATACTTAACTTTTTTTATATTTAAGTACCTAATTATTTAATATTAACAAAAAAAAAATTGATAGTATTCCGGTTGCTGTTTATTTGCTTAAATATTTTACTTTATTGAATTTGATTATTTAGATATATAATTGTCTTTTATAATTTATTTATTTTACATTTTTTTTATATGTTTATAGAAATGAAATCTTTTATAAGTTTAAAGGATACTTAATATTAAATTAACTATTTGCTTTTAGAGGACGGAATCCTGGTTTTGCACGTAAAGAAACAATTAAGAATAATATTTTAAAGAGAGAAGCCAAGAAAAAAGCTAAAAAAACCTTAAAGAATTTTTATAGATTTCAAATTAAAGAATCTAAAATAAATCGTAAGTATTATAATCTGTTACAATTTAATGAAAAATTTTGTTTAATAAATGATTATAAGTAGATAAGAAAGTATTTTTATTAATTTTTAACAAAGATATTTAATCTAATTAAAATAAAACCGTTTTATTTATTTTTATTAAATATTGAAGATTTCAATCTCATAACTTATTTTCAGAATTAATGGAGTTACGAAATAAATTTGATAATGACAAAACAAAAATTGATTTATTGAAACAGAGTAGAAAATTCAAGCCATTTTAATTTAAATAACTATTTTTTTTATATGTTTTTTTATGCTATTAAATATATTTTGTTGAATTAATTTTTCTAGTTTTGTATCTGTGAACATTTCTTGTTTATTCCTAAAAATATTTTAGTTTAAAACTATTGGGTAATGACAATTATATTAAAGAAAAGTTTTAATTTATGCAGTATATTAAAATCTATTGACAAAAAAAAATTTAATGCTTTCAAGCAAATAGGTTGTGAATAATAATTTTTTACTTTTACAGGAGAAATAAAATAAAAAAAATTGTACTTATAATAATAAGTATTTGACTTAAAATATTATTGAGTATTATTATGATCATAGTATGAAAAGTACTGACAACATTTTCAAAATTCCAGTAAATATTTAATTTTTTAATTTTTATATAGATTTATTTGTATATATAGGTTAACAGTATCAGTCTTAGTCAAATTTTCAATTCTTATGCCGAAATACTATAGATACTATATAGGACTACTATAGGCTTTTTTGCAAATAATAGTTTTTATCATAAATATTTAGTTCTATAAATTATGTTCTTTAATATCTTAAATTGTAAGATAAATTACGAAAAAAAAAAATTACAGTTGAATTTAAGTTATAAATTTAGAAAATTTCAGAAACTAACTGATAATCTAACTTATTTTTTATTAATTATAGTTAATTTAACAGTTTTAACTATGATATTTTAATTAATTCAATATTTTCAATATATTTTTGGTATAATTAGTATGTGTATATATACAGAGTGTTTATTAAACACTGGTTAGGAAATTGGTAGATTTTTATGATTAATGGAACATTGGATACATTTTGTCTCATATGAGCAGTATATGGCTTTTGTGAGTACGGGGTAAAATGATTTAGTTTTGTGTACTAATTAATACTACCTGAATTTACATCTGAATATGGTAGGGAAATTAAATTATAATTAGGTATTTGTCATACACATATTGATAGTTAAAACTGAGAAATATTTTTCATTTTGTAAAGAGATAAAGTGAAATTTTCTATTAGATAATCTCTATTTGTTACAAATTTAAATCATGGTATAATCGTCGTTATTTATTTTTATATCTTCATTGCTTACTGTCGAGTTGCATGTCACTACAATATTGATGAGCTTAAATCAATTAAGTCGCAAATTAAATTATTACAATATTTAATAAGAATTTTATTTTAGCCAATAATATGTGGAATAAAATCATACAAATATTCAGATTGATAATGTTAGACAGATCGCACTAGTGGTATTTTTGTTTTATAAATTATTCTGTGATCTAACCATGTGCTGCTAGTGTATTCTAATTGCTATCAATATTATCAGTTTTATTCATATACCAATTATATGTGATAACTCCCATCACAGGTATCATTTCATGTGTGTACCAATTATTTAAAAAGGCAGGAAATATATGCCTATTATTTCTACTCGTTTTTTTTAAATTTCAACTATGGATTTATTGAGTAAACAAGGACTCAGAACTGATGGTCGTAGAGCAGACCAACTACGTAGAATTAGATGTCGAATGGGAGTGTTTAGTCAACCAGACGGTAGTGTTTATCTTGAACAAGGAAATACAAAAGTGGTAGCAGCTGTATATGGACCTCATGAGGTACAATAAATAATTTTATTAAATTAAGGTTTCATTGATTAAAACCCGATTAAAAAATAAATTAAATATCTATGGTTTGCAATTATAGATTTATATTAGTAAATTCTTTTTAATAAAAAAAAAAAATTGTAAATGTTCATGAATTAAAAGTTCTAAAATTCCATACACATAGGAATAGTTATCTTTTGTACAGTATTGCTGAATGTGGAATATCTAGTTTCTAAGTTCTACAATAAAAAAAAATCAATCAACTTTAATTCTGTTTAACAAATTTATATATTTTGAATTTTTATATACATAATAATAATTATTTAATTATAGATTCGTACCAATCGATCAAAAGCACCTAATGACACAGCTTTAATTAACTGTCAATATAGTATGGCCACATTTAGTAGAAGTGAACGTAAACGTCGCCCTAGAGATAACAAGTCTGCAGAGTTAACTCTACATTTAAAACAAGCAATGACAACTGCTATTAAGACTGAACTTTATCCTAAATCTCAGATAGATATTTTTGTTGAAGTATATATATTTTTAAATGATATTTGTATTCTAGAAAATAAAATGAACAATTTTTCCCAAGGTTTTACAATCAGATGGTGGTAATTATAGCGTTTGTGTTAATGCTGCTACTTTAGCATTGATTGATGCGGGTATAGCTATGGAAGAATTTGTAATATCATGTACAGCTAGTTTGGCTAATGGAGAAACACCTTTAGTTGATATTAGTCATCTTGAAGAAACAATGGGTGGACCTTGTTTGACTGTAGCTATTTTACCTATATCTGGAAAAGTATTTAAATTAAATTATTTTTTTAATTGATTTTTGTCAATACTTTTAATTACATCCTAACAATTTTTGACTGTACTAATAAATTAATACAACAATTGAATCTCATAAATTATTGTTATTGTTTGTTGATAATGCAATTGCTTAGGTTATCTAATTTATAGGTTTAACTACTACTTGTGAATACTAAATACTTATGTTAAAATTTCTAGTCGCATTCCTAATGATTTTTTAAATTAATTAATTTTGCATAAACTTATTCTTGAAAAATATAAAAAAACAGTAATTTTTTTTTATAGAAAAAAAAGTTATACTAAAAACTTGATTTTAAAAAAATAACTTGGGAATTTGTTTTTATTACACTTTGGATGAGTTTTATTGATTGTGTTATACTAAAATAAAGTTTTTGTGTAATTTTAAATTATTTATTTGTAAATAGATAATAAATATAATAATAATATAATGAAAATTTTTTAATATTACAAACTTTTAAGAATTAATTTGAATCTAAAAATACAATTTTTAATTATATAATTTGATTGTATATTATTTTAAATAGATTGCTGTGTTAGAAACATCACAACGAATTCATTTGAACCACGTAGGGCCAGTAATTTCAGAAGCTGTTAGGGGATGTCGATATACTTACGAAAAATTAAATAGTATTGTGAAAAAGCATTATGAAGAAATTGGTGGTGCTTCAAATTGGGGAAATGAAGAGTATGTTTAGCTTAAGATTTAGACTTTGAATTCATTAATCAATCAAGTCAATTATGGTATAATTACTTTTTTATATAAAATATATGTATTTTTTTTTAATTTTTGTGTTCAACTTTTTCTTTGACTGCTAATTATTATAAAAAAAATTTAGTTATAATCAATTATGTTTTCTGGAGTATAATATTATGTTTAATCAATTACACAGTTGGAATTGATAAAATCATTTTGCACTAGCTATGAGACATACTTGTGTTATTTAAAAGTACATTAAATTATTTATGATGTATCAAATATGTTTGCCAAAACCTCATTAATTTACCAATTATAAGTGTCGTTACACTACATAAATGCTTTTTATAATGATCAAAATCTAAAATAGGTGTCCTTTGAAAAGTGTATCCCTTGTATGAGAAATTTGTGACTATGTTATGTAATGTGTATTTTAATTTAATAGTTAAAATGTTTTTCCAATTAATGTGGAATAAGTTATATTTAAATTTTAGTTGTGAAATTTTTTCCAGGTTTTCATTGTTAAACTTTCGTAGTTTTTTTTTAATAAAAATAAATCATTAAAATTGTGTGACATTGTAATAACCTGCCTTGGAAAAGGATTCTGGTTATGCAATCTACTATCAACACTTTAAATGAATTAAAAACTGTATCCTCTGAAATTAGATGGCAATGGCATATCCAAGGGAGAGTACAGGCGTTGTACTTCTCTCTTAGGACTATCATACCCTAATTAAAAAATAATTTCGAATGTTAAAATAAGCAAAAAATTGATTTTTACGTTTAAAAATGTATTGCGTCCCTCCTGAAAAAATTCTACATTGGTCTCCTGATTATTGTCTGATAATAAGAATACTTGGTTAGAAGTATAAAAAAAATAGCATTAATATAATAATGACGTAATCCAAGGCTTTCAACGTGTTAGGTACTTAGTCCAAAATAATTTTTTGGTAACTTCTTTTTTAGTGATTTCTATCTTAAATGTAGCCGTTCAATTCATTTGTTTTCATAAAATATTATTGTATAAGATGAGCGCGTTTGCCAGGTGTGTACCTGTATTTTTATTGTGATGAATTTCATAATATTATACTACTATTGTGATTAAATACAACTCTACTCTTATTTGTAAATATAGTGTAAATTGTAAACTAGTTACTTAATTTAAGATAGTATAATGCGTTATGTAATTTTTTATTATTTGAAATTATTTCTATCCACTATTGATAAGTATTTAATAATCGTTCTACATTCTATGGCACATTCCGTGTAATTATAAATTTTAAATTTCTAATTGTTTCGATGTCATGGATTTACATTTTTGAAAACGTTAATTGTACTCATAACTTTAAAGTTTTATATCATTTTAGGACAGACTTAAAACTTGGCCTGTTATCATGTTTCGGATCAGTAAAACCTTATTAGTTCTTTTCTATTAGCCGGAATTTTCTTGACGTTAGGGTGGTCGGATTTTGGCATGCTAAGCTCTACTATATCATAACCAGTATAAATTCAGAAAAGATTTTTTGGAGCAAAATTTTTCTTGTGGGAGGAGTAATTATATTTAGTTATAATAATATTGGGTTTCCATTCGAGAGAATTAAATTTAAATTTAGGTTTTTTATCTTTGAAGAATAAAAAAAAAAATGATTAAACTATATATTATTGTAGAGTATCTTTAATCAAACAATATTTTAAATATTGAATATTGTTGCCAACTTTTCTCAGCTCTCATCGGACTGATTTCTTTCAACGATACGTCAAAAGATCATTAATTTTACTTAGTTGAAGACATTTGAAAATGTCTTCAAAATGAGAAAATGTCAGAAAATGAGAGGNGCCAACTTTTCTCAGCTCTCATCGGACTGATTTCTTTCAACGATACGTCAAAAGATCATTAATTTTACTTAGTTGAAGACATTGCCTTAAAAATTTTCCTCTCATTTTCTGTAAATAGGAGAAATTCTCTAAAAATTGTTGATTTTTAAAATAGGTAAAAATTAATTTTTTTTTTCTTAAAACTACCATATGTTTTTGAAAAATGAATAAAACAAAATTATTTATTTATCTATTATCTTACATATTTCCCGTTAATTAGTATGAGTTTTTTGATCTTCTAATTGTCTACTACAGGGAAGATTCAAAATAGCAACTTTTCAATTTAAGCTATGAAAATGCTTCGGAAAAACTCCGAGCTTTAAACATATTTTAGAATAAAACTTATGTTATGTACTATAAGTTCAAAAAATAAAATATTTTTTCTCGACATATATTTATGAGTAAATAGCTGATGTAGTTAATAAACATGATTTTTTCGTATTAAAGGCTAGTTTTTCTTAAGAATTTTAATATTTTATCCTGTCGTCTGTTCAGTGACAAAAATACGCTTATGGTAATTAAAAAGATTGACATTAATGTAAACATTGCTCCGAATGAGCGATATATTTGTAAAAAGTAATAAAATAATTGTTGGTTAGAAAAGTATTTAAAATAGATAATTATTTATGTGGAAAAATTATTCTAGAAGTTTCTCGAATATTCTCGACACTTCTTTTTTATTCATTACAGTATGAACCAATATAATTAATTTTTATAAATATTTTATGTATACTCCTTACTTTCAACATACTTTTTTGTTAAATCGGACTATTTCACTTTATACAAGGGGTGTTCAAAATTAGAAAAAAACGAGTGAAAAGTAGAACTTTTTCAACCTAACTTTGAAATGTTCTGGAAATACTCTGAACTTTAAACATTTGTTAAATTATATTACATACTATAATTTAAAAAAATTGTCCCGACGACTTGTTTGTTATATGTAAATCATTATCAAAGTTGGATAAAAAATATTTTTTTGGTATAAAAATCACAGTTTTTTGTTGTTATTTTAGGTAAAAATAGCAATAACATGACATTTTTGTATTAATATTGAAAGATATAATTTCAATAAAAATCATAGTAATCATTTATATCTAATTCTTGGTGTTTAACTAGATGCTTTAGTTAAAATATTCAGAACTATATCCTGTATAGTGTTTTAATATATTATATAAAAATATTATCTAACTTAAAAAAAGATATGCTAACTAAATATTACTAATATTGCTGTGATTTATCAATGTAAAGGTAAATACAAAAATAATCGAAAATATAATGTACATTTAATCATTAAACTACAAGTGCATTATTACAATAATTTTTTCTGTTCAGTTTGTTATTATGTTTTTGAACAAACATTTTTTCTCGATCGTACTTTTTGTAAATAAATTTTTGAGGTATGACTTTCGTAAAAGAAAAATCATCCAAAAATAGAAACTGAAATATATTTGTTTGGCGATATTTTATCTGTACAGTTTTTTTATGTTCACATTTTTAGTGAATTTACAACATTTTCGGTTAGTAAATATATTTTATTAAATTTTTATCATTTCTATGTTTGTATTACTTTTAAAAGTATTAAGTTAGGCATGAAATGTTTTATGAGAAAAATAAATTCAAACAATTAAAATGGATTCAAATAGTTTTTGATCAACATTCGAAGGACAAGATTTTAGATAACAAGTTACAAAAAATAAAAAATGGAATGATCCAAAAATATTTCATTTGTATTGAATTTTATGGGATGTATACTTATTTAAATGTTAAAAACTGACATAATATGATCAAATAATTCATATTCTTAAATAAATATAATAATTATAGTTATTTGTTTAAATAATTATTTACATAAACAAAAATTTGAAAAAAAAACTATTAAATTGCAATTATATACCTCTAGACTCATTAGATGATTAAAATATTTGAATTAATATGGTTTTATAATTATTTCATTAGTAATTGTAGTATTACAAAATACATATATTAGCTATTTAAATTTCAATAAATTAATAAAATAATAACAGGTTATGTGTAATATTTTATTATCTAAAAGTATTTATTTTTTAATAAAAAAATTAACGTTAAACATTTATTAAAAAAAAGTAATTTATTAAAGTATTAAAAAATCTTAATACTTTATTAATAAGGTATCTTATATATGTATTAAATAACATAATATTTTATTAATAAAATAAACTATTTTTTTTTACATACTGATAATTAATGTGCAAAATCTAATTTAATACTTGTGTCTTTGTCTATCTGCATTTCAAAATGTTTCATTCTGTTATTAAATAAAGTTATAAAACGATAAATTTCTTCCATTGATTGAGGTTTTTGAAAAATATTTTGAGATATGTTTATTTTAGTATCATTCGACGTGTTTGCTGGTCCATTTGTTACATCATGACTCAGACTTTTTTCAGCCGCAACATCATTTGATCCATGACAGGGTCCAACCGCTAAAAATCGAGTTCTAAAAACAGTGTTCACTCGCATGTCACTTTTATCTTCTGTTATTGTTTGGTTGAGCCCACTGCAGTCATTATAACTATACCACATAATGCATTTTGTATCTTCTAATTTTATCGAATTTATGTATGCCATCCTTTTAGTGTCCTTCGGTGTATTTAAAAATTCCACAAATGATGTACAATTAGATGGATTTCCCAAATTTACACAATTTTCAAAAAATGGATCTCTACACAGTTGTAAACTACTCACGTATTGGCCAAAAACATTTGTTAATAAAATAACTAATATAGAAAAATACATAATTATAATTATTATTATTTTTTAAAAAGCTAAATAATAATATTTAAAATAAGACTATTAATATATTAACAACAATTTTAACTACTATGTGTAATAATATTTCGTTTACTTTAAGCACTTTTATAGATAAACAGTAATAAAATAGAAAATCATTTAAATGACACACTTTGTTAGGGAATATTTTAGCAGTGAAATATGTCGTTTACATAGGACTGGGATTCGAATATTTAGCGCACTCTATTCTAAATGTACCGACTAGCGATATGTACATCGAAAATTTAAAATGAAAGTATCTATGTTCAAATTCCATTACAGAAAAGGTTACATTAAAATTAATTATATCGATGTCAATTCACGTGACTAAATATTGTAATTAAAGTGTAACTAATTACTTCTGAATAGAATTCAAAAATATTTAGAGAGTAAAGGTTTTGATTTCCAATAAAAGGTTTACAAATAAAATCAACTCTGACAAATTTAATTTTTGAATCTAAATTGTTTAAAAAATATGTTTAACTTTTTAATTCAATTTTGTGCAATATTTTGTTATCTATACATTCTAGATATGAACTTAATAATTGTAAGTATCAGTGGTGGATCCAGTATTGAAGTGGTAGAGCGGCCGCCCATCTCCCAACAGAAAAGGTAAAATTTAAGGTAGCGATAGAAAATTTCCAAAATTATTCATATATAATTAAAGTTTATACAAACATTCTTTATAGAAAATTTTTATTTTTGTGTAACTACAAAGCAAAACTACTCGTATGTACAATAATTTTAAGAAACTGTAAAGGATCTTTAACAAGCCTAAAAAAAGTATTTTATAAGAGAAATTGAGGTGACAAGAGTTAAATAAAAGAATAAAAAGAATAGTATGTTACTATTCAAGTTTAATAATTACAATTTTTTTAAACGTTGTAAATAGACTAATACTTCAAAGATAGACATATTTTTTTTATTGTTTTAAATGAGGATATAAGGGCCTCTATTTTTTTTAATAGTAATAATTATCAAAATAATACTATACAAATTGACACAATCAATAATTTAATATGGTACAAACATAGACATAGATGATCAAATTTTTTGGGGAGCTAAATTAAATTTTTTTCTTACAAAAATTACTTTTATATAATAATAATTTTGCTACATTTTCGAGGGCTAATATTTTTAAACTAAATTAGTGATTATTTAATAGTGATCAACATTTGTTTAACACTTACCTACGAATACGAGTTATTCCAGTTTTTCTGGTAAAATGAAAAGAATATTACAATATCCGTGTGTTTAATAAGGTTTTTCTCGTTAATGTAATTATTTAAACTAAAAATAAATCACAACACGAGACTTTCAGTGAAATTACAACACAATTTGATCGGTGGATTTCACTTATTTCAAAAATTATTTACTAAGTAACTAAAGTTAATTTTTTTTTAAATTTGAGTTCTAAGTTCAAAAGGAGGGGACTAAATTTAAAAGAAATCGAATGGCCACTTAATCGGTATGAGAATGTCAATTAAAAAAAGGAAAACTGAATGTTTTTATAATTTTATTATAATATTTGTTACCCAATTGGTTGATATTTATAAAACAACATCTTCACATAATTTTGAATAAATTTATTTAAAATCTATTAAAAATAAAATATTACCTAAATTATTTTATGATAAGTATTTGAAAAACTACGTCAAAAATGATTAATTTAAAATTATTATTGAATATGTGATAAAATAACATATAGGTGTCTTCGGAAAGATATAAAAAAAATATAAAACCAAAATTTGTACTATAAATCGGCACCTTTTATTTCATTAAACATATTTTTTTCGTACATGAATGTTTGGAGTTTTAAAACGTAATTTTTTCAATGAAAAAACAATGAAATCAAAATACTATTATATAATTGCGTTTAATAAAATGTTTTCCGTTATATTTATATTTTTTTTTGTGGATTATTAATGTAAAAATAATGTTATTGTTACGAAATTGTTGTTTGGGACTGAACATGAATTATTTTTCTAAAAAGACCTAATAATATAAATAATTATTTAAACACCAAGAGTTGCATTTAAATGCTAATAAGACTTCTATTTAAATTAATTATTACAATAAAACGCTTTTATCGAGAAATTTCACATAATCAAAAATCACATATCAATCTAAAAAATGCAATATTTTATTCCTCATAAAATATTTTATTTAATGATATAAAATTCTAAACTTGCAAGTTTAGCTAAAATTGTGTTTAAAAATTCAACATTTTTGAATTATAAACTTTTAGAAAATATACGTTCCTAAACCCATTTTTTGCGCTGATTTCAAAATTGCAATTCCATCACCATTAATATTAATCACAATTAATTGATATTATTAAAAATAAATTTAAAACGAGTATTATACATAAAATTTTGTTTTTCCTAAATTATTAATATAACGACTTCAATTTATTTAAATTAAAAATTGTATATAAATTAATTATATTTTTTGTAAGAGATAACCTGAAAAATGTTATATTAATTGAATTAACTAAAATTGTAAGAGTCTAGTGTTAAGGTTTATTATTATAAATTACTGCCTATATAGACAGTATTTTTTAATAATAATTGATTACTATGGATACTTTTAATTTCCTCATTGTTGTTTATAAACAACTGTATTATAATACACAGACATCAATATTCATTTTGTAATGTGGTATAAATCAGTTAACAAGTCTTACAATAAATATTTAATGAAGATAATGTAATTGAAGAAGACATTTTATAAGAACTTACAAAAATGTGCGCAATTTTTTAATAAAAAGAAAGGCACACAAGGTAAGCCATATTTGAAATTTATTTAGAGGGAGAGGTTACGATGATGGGATCACCGATTTCAAATTAGTTATATGAATTTGCATTGAATACAATTACACTTTTTTTGATTTTTTCACCAATATCTCCCTAAATGGCGATAGAATATTTTGAATTAGCTTAAGTAGCTCTTTTTATACAACAATGAGCATTGTTAACTATTGCTCGATAGAAAAATTGATTAATTGATTTATAAAATTATTTATATTATAAAAATCACATTCTTCTTCTTCTTTTCCCTCGCCATTATCCCAAATACTTGGGTCCATCACTCTTATCCTAAATATCTACTTGACACAATCTACCGCATCATTTACGCACACATCAACAGCCAAATCAAATATAAAAATAAAAATCAGACAATTTATTACATAGATTAACGTACGATATATAGAGCTATTTAAACACAATTTTTTGATTGATGTTCAACAAAGAAACATTATAATACCGAGTATGGTGACACATATTTCTTTAATGTTTTTAAGTCTTTCGAGATTTTTTCAATTAACTACATATATATATATATATATATATGTGTGTGTGTGTGTGTGTCCTCGGTAAAAGGATATTTGTTTGCGTTAATCTATATTGATTGATACGTTATTGAACTCACACCAAACATTAAATCTGTTAACATCCACTAGCAATTTACGGCACTCATCATGTGAATTGTTTACCATAAATATTTGAGATCATTTGAATATAATATACATTTACAGTGTTTGAAAATCATAATCAAATGTATTTACTTATAAATCTATACTTTATTTGTTTCACTTGAGTCTATTGGATTATATTGTAATAATTTTATAGTCATATCGTAAACCAATTAATTTTTTTTAGAGTTTTCAAAATGTTCGGTTGTAGAATAAAACATTTTCTCAGAAAAAAATACTCTAGAAGTTTTATTAAACACTTCGAAAACAATTAAATTAAAAATGCTTCCGAAGAATTAAAAAATGATTTTAAAGAAATTAAAAATTGTTTAGAAGACATAAACAACGATTTAAAAGCTATTAAAACGACTTTAGAAATTGTTCAAAATTCTACTGATATATTTAAAAAAGATTTGGAGAACTTTATAAAATCCTAAAAAAATGACAGAAAGACTTAGTCAGAATCATGTTCGTGTTATAAACTTGTAATGGGTGAAAAAATTAAAGTTGATAATTCAATAGCTCCCTCTATTGATATAGCATCTGAACTTGTAACAGATAATAGAAATATAATGGAAACGAATGAGACTGCAATGTTTTGTCGATTGGAAGAGCATATTTTAGAATTTGAAAATGGTAAAAAAAATTTTTTTTGGTGCAAAATATTATGCTATATGACTTAAGTGACAATATTTATTTCACTTGAGATTTATTTTCCTATATTATAATAATCATATGAGCCTATTGATACCTAATTAAATTTTTTAGGGCCTTCAAAATGTTTGTTAATAGAGGAGGTTAAGTCTTCAATAAAAAATACTACAAAGGTTTTGTTAAGTGTTTCCGAAGAAATTAAAACTACTTCCGAAGAGACAAAATACGCTACGGAAGCTACCAAAACCAGTTCAGAAGTGATTCAAAATTGTATTGACCAATTCAAAAAAGATTTGGAGGGATACATTTGTTCCTATAAAAATGATGCAATGATCGAATCGGATTCATGCATGACATCTACATTTGTTATAGGCGACCAGATTAGTGTTGATAATTCAACTGATCCTTTTACTGGTATAGCATCTGAACCCGTAATAGAGGAAACTCACATAATTGGAAAAAATGAGGTTGCTATGTCTTGTCCGTTAGAAGGTCATATTTTGGATTATCCAAATGATAATAAGAAAGGACGATTGTCCAATTCACTAAATGGACTACGTTATGAACTCAATTTAGTATGAAAATTTCAACTTAACATTACACTAAATCATAAAATGTTGCGATTGTTTTATCTAGGATGATATTATAGGTGAAATATCGTTGATGCATTATTCCAGAACAGCACGTTTTTCGCTATCCTCATCAACTCTACCTCACGCAATAGATGTTAAAATTATGGGATATTACGAAAAAGTTTACATGGAAAGCAATCGACTAGTTGGTTACATAATTTGGACTTCTGGTGATAATCAATATGGTTTGATAGGATCATATTTCAATGGATGTCGATACAATTTTTTATATGTGTAAAAACATATAATATTTATAGTCATAAAATCATAATATGTATTTATATATTATCTATTTTGTTTATTAGAAAGATCTAATTTCTATGTTTTCGATTTTAAAAAGAAAGACAATTGTGACATTTCGTCTCAATGTTTCCTGTGATTCTCCGAAGGCAATCAAAATCAAAATACAAGATAAGTTGAAAAATTTTACTATAATACCTGGTCTAGTAAATGGATACACTAGATGGTACAATCATACAGCTAAGCATTGATTAAAATTAATTAAATTATTTTGCAAGAGATAACCTGAAAAATGTTATATTAATTGAATTAACTAAAATTGTAAGAGTCTAGTGTTAAGGTTTATTATTATAAATTACTGCCTATATAGACAGTATTTTTTAATAATAATTGATTACTATGGATACTTTTAATTTCCTCATTGTTGTTTATAAACAACTGTATTATAATACACAGACATCAATATTCATTTTGTAATGTGGTATAAATCAGTTAACAAGTCTTACAATAAATATTTAATGAAGATAATGTAATTGAAGAAGACATTTTATAAGAACTTACAAAAATGTGCGCAATTTTTTAATAAAAAGAAAGGCACACAAGGTAAGCCATATTTGAAATTTATTTAGAGGGAGAGGTTACGATGATGGGATCACCGATTTCAAATTAGTTATATGAATTTAATTTGCTTTAAATACAGTTACACTTATTTTGTACTATCACCAATATCCCCCTAAATGGAGATAGAAGATTTTTTTATTAGCTTAAGTAGCCCTTTTTATATAGCTATGAGCATTGTAAACTATTGCTCGATTGATAAAATTGATTAATTGATACTTGATACCTCTGATACATTTAGGGTCTTCAAAATGTTCGTTAATAGAAGAGGAGAAGTCGTCAATAAAAATTACTACAAATGTTTGAACGAAGCGCACCCGGTTGTATTCACGCGGGTTCGTTAACAATCGTGGTTTTATTTTGTCTTAAGTCTTTAGCTATGTCGAGGATAAGGAATGAGGTGAGTGGACTGTATGTTTGAATGTAGAATGAATTTTACAATTTATAATTATAACAATTAAATGTATTATATAAGATATATAAAATCTTATAACACCAATGCGGATAGGGGGACACTTAATACTAATGCCACAAAGGTGTTTTTAATTTTTCATTGAAAAAATGTATACATTTATATGATTGTTATCAGACACGAAACAGGACAATATAATTATAATAGTCTTTTATTTACTAAAAAAAAACGCCTGAATTTTTTCAGCTGTTAAAATGTTTAGAACGATCATATGATTCTAAAATCATAAATTCGCATAAAATTTATATTATAACTTCCTTATTATTTAAGGTGTTTCATTACATTATGTAATTTTAGCTTTAAAATAATCAGAAAATTTTTAGCTATTTTTTCTGCTTAAATAATAAATTATACAAGTTAGTAAGTCTAAGAAAGATAGATGAACAAGTATTATACTTATCGGTTAAATAAAACGGCTGATGATAATGTTGAATATTGAAAAGATCAATTGAAGTCAAATGCAAGTAGCTGACCAAAGTTTACAATATGCTGTCAACGGTACTGTAATGTATCTCAGAAATATAAAGACCCAACGGCGATAAACTGAACACACAGGTGCGACAATCGCAAAGGTGATATTTTACTTTTACAGCAAAACGAATACAAAACTACTGGCTCGCAAACGCCATAGAGCTTATAGCAGAAGAAGCGTTAAAATGGCGGCGACAATGCAGACATAAAGAAAAAAAGACCGACAACAACTCGATGTAACTCAACGATAACATAAATAGTCACAATTTCTTGACAGCATATTCGACCGATGTTTATCCAACATACTCCCGGCGTTAGAAGATGAATTCTTTCAAAATTTTCAAGAAAGGAAAAAAAATAATAATAACAAAAAAACATAATAATAATTTAAAATGAAAATCTAAAGGAGAGTAAATATACAATGTTACTAGGTAATCTGCGGTAGAAACAAAACATAAGAAACATTAAAGGCATAAGGGAAATAGTAATCAGCTGATTCTGAATACTTGAGATGTTTTGTATTCGTATTAAGTTTATTGCCGTTAGATAAGTATTTCTTGTTCATGTTGAAAAATCACTCGAAAAACGCAGTTATAGAATTGTTTCTTTCGTTGATATAATGTGTCTAATTTCTACGTTCAGGTCGAAGAATTTTCCAAATTTTATCAACTAGACAATTAATTGATCGACATTAACTATAATTGTGGTTTATCTATAGAAATTAAATTAATTCATCTCGTTTCGACCTGTAGTTTTAGGTATGTGCAGTGCTACGTTGGGAGCAATATTTTTCAGCGAGTCGAAGAGTTTTCTACCGCCTCCTTCGTAGTCTTTGCACATATGTTTTTCGAGACTGTAAACTTTGTGTTTCTTATACAATTGGAGGAGACGTCACTATGACCTGTGACTTTTTTTTTTTTTAGCGTTTCTGCAATCTCGAAGAAATGTCCCTGTATAAATATAATTTTGCCCCTGACTTTATAAATATCTGCATTTCTTTTAGCGAATTTATATTTTTTAGCATCGATATCCACAGCGATTACTCGTGTGTATGTCTTGGTCAATTGGATGACGTTTCTACCAGCACCACAAAACGGATCCATAGCGACGTCTAGTCTGGGCTATTTTAACGTTATATGTGTGCTTAAGATCTCGGAACAAATAGAATAAAATAATTCTGAAAAAAAACGTTATCATTTCTAGTAAAATACTAAAGTTTGTTTAAATAATTATTTTACAACCGTTGTCCATCATGATTCCTTCGTCGAATTTAGAGAACAATAAGAACCTTTTATCAGTTATTTTACTATGTGATTTTTTATTATGGCTCTCAATTATTTTTACAGCTCTCACTTAACCAACTTTTTTTAAAGATACATCAAATGATCATAACTAATACACTCAATCGAGTAAATTTTTTTAACATTTTGATTGGTTTTTTTAGTTAAAGTAAATCATTAAAATTAATATTTTTTGAATATTTCAATTGTAGAATATTTTTAATAACCAAAAATTACTTAGAAATGATTACTATGATTTCTATTTAAATGATCTATTACAATAAAAATGCTTTTTCTGAAAAGAAGCTTTTTTGATAAATTTACAGTAAATAGTAATTATACAATTTCCTTACTGCATAATAATCTTAACAATACTATTTTATTATTCTCATAAAATTTTCTATTTAATAATGTAAATTTCAAACTTGAAGTTAAGCTACAAGTTATGATAGCAAATTTAACTTTTTTTTATTATAAACTTTCAAAAAATCAACTTTATAAGACCAAAAAAATTTGTTAAAAATGATATTTTGCAATGATTGTTCTTAACATATTAAAAATCAAAATCTGTAATAATTAAAAACAATTTTTTGTGTTTTCAATTATTTTTTTTGTTGTAATAAATCATTTTTAAAGAAATATTAATAATTTCTATGTAATTCTTGGTATTTAAATAGACGATACAATTGAAATATTTAGAACTATTTTCCTTATAGTTATCCTATCCTTTTTAACTAATTAGTAATAATATCAAAAATTATTGTTGATGGAAAACATATAATTGCTGATTTGAAATTGAATCTTTTGAAATTTAAAAAAATTGAATAATAAAGGTATTTTTTTTACTTTGATGTTTTCTCGAGATGTTGTATTATTATTTTCTGCCAATATATATCAGACGGTGGTGTTAGAAGATTATTTTTTTGACTTTATTTAGTTTGAGTTATACAAATTGTAAGCTAATACACATAGTTGAAAAAAAAACATTTTGCAAAACTTATACAAAGTATTCATTCAATCAAAATTAGACTATTACTCATTTAATTTACAGCAGCACCAAAAATAAGATATTAGAAAAATTAGAGCCAGTACATAATGTGAAAATCTACTTAATAACAGGCGAATTCAAAAGTTTACAGTGTATATATTTAGAAATGAGGTGAAAATTGCTTGAAATCTATTATTCAATCAAAATGGTTGAAAATTTGGACTATCCTACATTTATAAGAAATACTTTATGAAAAATACAAAAACCTATAAAACTCATTAACAAATATGGCCAAAAGAAAACTATTTTTTAAAACCTACAATATTAATCCAAATCATATAATTAGAACTTCCACCACTGAAGATCCAATTTGAAAGCATGACACATTTATAATAGACTTAAATTTCATTAACAAAAATAAAACGTAAATAGAATACCTTAAATTATCAAACTTAAAATCAGTATTTAAACTTAATATGATTAGTTTAGTTAATTGTTATTTTAGAATTGTTTTAAATTGATTTACAAAAAGTTAGAATGATTAAGTAATAAGATATATTTTATTTTATCCAAAATTAAGCTACTTCGAGAATGTTTTTTGAAAAATATTTGATTAATTTTTATTATTCATTTGTATTTATTTAAATATTCTTTATTATTTGTGATTGTTATTAGAATAAACGACGATTATGATAAGAATTATACTTCTTATCATCTGTTGTAGTTCATAAATATAGTGCGAGAACTTTAGGTATTATAAAAAATATTTGTATTATTAATAACGTATAAATATTTTTTGTTTTATCATATCTTAAAAAATGTATACTAATATTTTATATTTCTATTCGTCTATTTGTAAAAATGAATGAAATCTTAATTTGTATCTTAATTAGCAATCGTTTTTTGCGTTGGTTAAAATGTATGCTTTCTAACGTTTATATTTTGACAGGGCCATATTTAAGAGTAGTTTAGATGTACAATGGTCTCTCTTTAAAATGTTTGTGGACGAATCTCAATATTAAAAAGCAAAACTTACAAATATTATCAACATTATGCCGATGAAAAAACAATGGAAGTTATGATTTTTTATTTATTTTTGTTTTAAGATTATCATCAGTTAACATCAAAATCGTAAATACGCCCATGTTTATATTGATTACTATGGTTTCTAAACATTTATAATGTAATTTAATTTCGATTTAAAGTATCATATTTTTTATTAGACAACAATAATAGATTTTTACATGAGTATTTTAAAGTAAATGTATGTTCTTAAATATTTCATAATTTTATACAATTATCAAGTATTAAACAAAAAATTAAAACCATCTATGGTTTTATTAGAACATCAACATTTTAGTAATACGTAAAAATATTTAATATTTATATATTTATGTATAATTATTTACAGTATTATATTTAAAAGTTAGAGGTCTAGTGGTTTGGTAATAAAGAATCCTAATTACTTGTAACAGCTTATGAGATATTTAAAAGCTCATTAACAAATAAAAAGTACTATTTTGCACTAGTTACACTCGGTAATTTATTTGGAACGAGCATACAAATTTTGTATATGTAGACAAAGATGTGCAAGATGGTAAAACAATGATTATTTTATATACCCGTTATTAAACATTTTTATTTTTAAAGCAAATAAAAAAGGACCTTATGCGAGTTTTAAATCAAAAATTATATCGAGAAATTTTCATTAAAATCAATATGGTTGAAAAGTATTTTATATTAACCAATTTCTTAGTTTATATTTTGAGCATATTTAACTATAAATAATAAAGTTTAATTTAAGTCCACAGATAATCTTAGATTGATTTTTATATGTAAAAGTAAATTAAATGTACTTATAATAGTAGTGCATAATAGATTTTAGGTTACATAAATAGAGTTTTGATTGTAATTTAATGAATTGCAATTTGACATTTTTTAATGAATAGTTCAGAAATTAAATGCATTGTATTTTTATGGAAATTATACAGCAATAAAAATATTGGTTACTGTTTTTAATTTATTGTTTAAAAGAAATAACAAAGCTAGTACTGATATTAAATTTTTTAAATAAATTCAAATAATTGGTAAAACATTGAGACACAAGTTAGAGCGAGGACCCACGAAATAATTCTAATGATTTTAAGACAATTTTGTATTTTTTAAAAAACGATTTAATGATTTTAGAAAAGGCTCAAAGTCTATCTTTATATTGTTATTTGCTTTGCAAAAACGTGTAACTGGACATTTTTCGTTTTTTCCGGAAATACATACAATAATATTGATGCATGATTTAAACGTTCTTGGAATAAAGTATCTCTATTGTTTCTTAAGTAAACTGAGTATTTAATAATTTTATTTAATATTAACTATACAAAGTTTAGTTGTTTTATATTCTTTCTTTTGAATAATTTTGAAAAATTGAGTTATATGATGAAGCCTTGGAAATTTAATTTCAATTAAACATAACTTCATCATTTTTATCACATAACTGGAAAATATTGTTCGTCCAACAATATATTTGTAATAAAATTTATTAATACTATATTTAATAGATAGTTTAATTGGTATAGAATATCGATAGTTCAATATAATCAGTTAAGTTAGTAACGGTATATTCAATATATTTTTAAATAACACTTTTAATATAAATTTGAAAATGAAGTTTGAAACTATTGGGCTTAATGAAAATTTTAAAATAAAATAGATTGGTTTGTTTATTCAGTTATCATATTGACAGGAAATACAATTTGTATTATTTAAATTAAAAAGTTACTTTTTAAAAATGTTTTTTTCTTCACGGCGTCAAAAAAACTAAATCTGTGACTTAAACCCGGATCCAAAGAGTGTCTCAATTCTTTTTTATATAAACAAATTAATAAATAAAGGTTTGTTGTTCTGATCAAAAAGAGTAAATAAATAAATTAAAAATATAGGGATGATTTGTTTGATAATACAATTTATATACATGTTTTCTCCGATCTTTATAATAATAATAATAACACAATAAAATTAAAGATAACAAAACAAAAACAGAAAAAAAAAAATTAACATTAGTATTTCAATATAAATACAACATAATACATTAAATTATATAACAAGTAGTAAATTTGGCATCGTTTGGACTAGAACGATACGGAGCAAATAGAAATTATTTACATGTGAAAATATATTCTTGTTATTATTGCTGACTGTGTAATGGAATGAATGTTAATCCTTATCGCTCACCAACAATTGATCTAAGCGATCCATCAGCGATAGCCACAGCATCCGTTGATGTTAGAAAAGCTGTAAAGCTTTATTATACTGATGTGGTCGAAGCAGTTGCCGTTGCGACGACGGTAGAAACGATGGCTGTCGATTCAAGTAAAGTTTCCGAGTCCGGACTACCGTAACCACTTGATCCGTCATCGACAACGGACGCCGTAGTCGTCGTCGGAGTTCCTCCAATGGACGACACTGACTGACTTGCAGACAGCAAGTAATGTTGTTGCTGGTGTTGATCGACAGTTTCCGGTTTTTGTGGCTTTTGAGGCACTTGCATACAACGCTCGATTGTAGCGGCTGTAGGCTTAGAGGTGATTCCTTCCACCTCGGTAGTGTGTCCTACAACGTTTCTTGTTGCTGTTGGGTCGGCGTTGCCGTTTGCCGCTGGCTAAAGGAATGACAATAAAAAAGTTCAAGTTAAATACGAATCTCAGAATATTTACGGTAAGACTACCTAATAGATTTTAGATCTACTAGGTGTTTTTCTATTGCATCGGTGAGGTAACCCTCTAAATTTTTTTTGTAGTTAGGTTTTTAATGAAATTTTAGGTTCCATAAATAAAAATAAATCACGGACAAGAGTCTACTCACGTTTTGAGTTAAATCAGTCAACAATCTATAATTTATCATTTTTTGTAAAGGAGGATCAATATTAAAATATATTTGAAATTAAAGTCCTTAAAAAGTGTATCAAAATTAATGTAATACGCGTGGTAATAAAATTATTATCAGAATATATATTTTTTTTAATTCGTTTATAATTTAATTTATTCAGTTGGCTGAATAAAAAATAAAAAGAGAGCTTTAAGAAGAATGAAATAAAAAATGGTACTCTTTTATTGCAATATTATAATGTACAACTCGGGCTCATCCAATATTCAGATCTCTATCAGATCGACATTTTCATGTACATTTAATTTCGCATAAAACGAACTTTTAACTACTATTTGACTTCATATACTATCTAAAGACAGTCAATTCAATTAACTTCTGTATTTTTTTACGCATTAACTTAAGTGAATAAAGAAAACTTTTTATAGGTATTGTTGAAAATCGATGTGTTTTGTTATATTGATTAATATGAATATAGTACTATTTTTTTTAAACACAAATGTAAATCAAAATAGGTTTTATACGTTAACTCGAGAATATAAAATGTACGAGAGAGTACAGGGTGGCCTCATCGAATGTCCTACCTGTAATCTACTGACTTGCCTTCTTATTTGCGCTAGACTGGAAGAATTATAAGTAGCCATATTAGCGAACACGAGTCGTTCTTCGTAGTCGTATTCACACAAAATTTTGTTTTCACATAAATAGAAACGATCACCTACGCAAAACCTATAAAAAAAATTGAAATTTAATTATAACAATAACTGCTGAATACTTTAATCACATTACCTGTGATTACACTGTTGGCAAGCAAAACATTCTAGGTGGTAGACATTGTTTTTAGCTCTCATCACCATTTCAAAAGCAGGAATTACTTTGTTACAAGCTGCACAGTTACCAGTTGCACCAAACAACCTGAAAATCATCAAGTTAATCATAATATATTTCTTTATTAGTATCGTCATCACGGTAAAATGTAATATATACGTTGCAAGTCATATACTGCACATTTTTTCAAGAAGATAAAATATATTTGCAATATGATAATTAAAAGTGATCATGTTGTATATGGACTGTATAAAGTTGAAGTGGACCAGTCATTATCGTTGGAAAATACGAGTTGTCATTGCGTTTGACGGAAACAAGCAGCATAGAGAAAGAGCCATACCTTTGGTTACTTTTTATGACGTAAGTATGAAATAGACAAGACCTGTTTTATCATTGTTATTTATTTATGCACACAAATATATTGCTATCAAAACAAAGAGTACGATAGATAAAAACAATAGAGGCATCTATGTAATTGTAGAATCAGTCTGATAACATTAATTTGGCTAAATAATATACGTGGAAATTGTATTTCCCGTCAACGGACCGGATGAAATACCAACAATAAGGAAGAGAGAAAGTCGACTTTTGTGTGCAAGTATAACCCAGACGTTGTTTTGGCCGACATACGGTTTTAATTAAATTCAACAGCCGAAGGGAGAACATCCTTGTCCTTCTCCATCCAATCATTTTCATAAACGGATTTAATTGAATCTAGAATAGATGTCCTTTATCCTCACCTCTCCCCTTAATCACGAGTACCACCCATTTGTCTTTCGAGTTTTTATTTTTAATTTAATTCCCTTCGCCGTTAGTTAATTTTACATTTCGCTAATTAAAACTCCATGGTAATCCTTAGTACGAAAAATGTGTTTTAGAATGTCCTTTACCAATTTGAAACTCGAGCTCACCTTAAGTAATCTCTTTTGCACAGTATTAAGTTGGCCTTGGTATACAACGTAGACCCCACTTCGCCCAATCGGCAGTCACAGCAGCCACACTTGAGACAATCTTCATGCCAGAACAAGTCCAGCGCTTTGAGCAAAAATCGCTCAGTGATTCGCTTGCCGCAGTTGGCACATTCTCTGGAAATCATTGCGGCCGTGCCACCGTTCAAACTTGTTAAAGCAGTAGTTGTTATGGTCACACCGTTGGTAACCGAGTTCGAACTTCCGTTTGTTTGCTGATGTTCTGGAAAAATATAAAAAATCACATTATGATTATTCGTTTTCAACTAACACTGCGTCTAATATTGTAATTATTACTAGCTTATTGGAAATATCTTATGTATTGAAAAACGAAATTACAGGAACTGCTGTGTGTTTCAATTATTTCAAAACATATAAATATATAATTATTGGTTTTCCATAAATATAATAAAAGCGAATAAATAACAATAAAATTTACTTCTAATGACATTGTATAGAGAGTCTCAAATAAAAATAAAAAAAAAAATGCTTTTCCGATGAAATATTATAAAATACACACAGTGTGTACCCATATAGTTTTTACGTTTGAATCCTTTTAATTACGCGCCGACTAATTTTTATTTTTTAATAAAAATTAATATTATCAGCTACGCTTGTATAACAGTACTTTTCCTCACTACTCCTCAACGACTATCATTACACACCACCCGTCTTTTCAAACTTAATTTTAAACTTCTCATAAACGATCCTCTAAACTTATTTCATTTAAATTTCATTTAATTTATATACATACATATTATACCGATTCTCGCGTCCGCTGACGAACATCATCCTCCAGACTTTAATGAATTTTACTTACTACTTTCCTCAGCATGTTTTCTGCGCCCCACTCATTCGACCGTCCGTCATTTTAATCCCAAAATCGACTTAATGAAAGTTCCACTTTCCTACACTAGTTTTGATGCATCTTGTCAAGATGGAAAAGAAAGAGGGACACGGCAATACTTAAAGTTTTGTTTTCAATGATATATACCACTTCTTCACATTATTTTTCTCCAACTTCCCGTCATTGTAATTTTCTTTTAGTTTATTCAAGTAAAATTATATGAATATTAAAATATCCGTGTTTCTTGGGTATTTATTATTTGTTTAACAATGCAAAATCGAATCTTTTAAAAAATTTTAGTTTTCACAAATTTCTACACAACGCCATTATGGAATAAGACTTATATATTACAAATTTTATATAAAGGTGTTCTCGTTGGTTGATTCAATTAAAATGTTCGCTCGTTATAATCAAACATTTAAGTTTATTTTAATTTTGTTTTCATGACAACTCAAAGTGAAATAATGCTAATAAATTTTAAGTTCGGCATTGCATTTGAACTCTTTATATCTGCAATAATTTAAACATTTGATTATTCTTAATTAGAAAATAAGAAAATTCCGCGAATTCAACATAAACGGTTTTACGTAAAAAAATGCATAACAAATATTTAAATTGAATAACACTAAATTTTTATCACTAAAATAATTAGATAATTAAAATTGATTATCAGAATATTAATTATATAGTTTAATGGCTGTATAGTATGAAAATTAATCTATTAACCAAAGTACAATAAATAAGAAAAATTTGTCAGAGATAATTGTAAAAATTAATATTATCAGCTATCAAAAGTTGTTGAGTTTGGTGTAGTTTACACGAATGAGAAATAATATTTATTCAGATTTACCCTCTGCGTATTATTACATTAAAAGCATTAAAAATTTTAAAACTCTGTTTACCAACAGAACAAATTCGGGATAAAATAATGTAAAAATAACAGAGGAAGATTTTAGTCTTACGCGAGTGGCTTTCCATTTTTATAAAGCGTTGCCACCATCGGTGTTTTCGCGAGGAAAACGGATTTATGAAGTGAAGGGATTTCTCCGAAAAACGAATGTCCAAACGTAATTAATCTTAGTTTTTAACTAATTACCATTTTTTTTATCTACCCCTTCACTCTTCGCTTTTTTTAACCCTTCCCACCGCCACCCAATGCCAAATGGGTAAAACGTGGAAAAACATTTTCCAAACCGTATTATTCTTTGTCGTTTTTTTTACTTTTTAATAATCCGACCGGAGGGACTGGGGAAAGGAATTATATACTTTAATTATTTCTCTTTTTCCTCCCGCTGCCGTCGATTTAATTAGTACGGTTAAAAAGAAAGGTTACCAGAAAAATAAAATGAAGTCCCCGCGCACTCCCCTATATCCAAAGCTATTCGCGTATTGAGTAGTTCTTGGACAAAAAGAAAAAAATATTATGGCAACGGCGGGCATGTTACGGACGGAGGGGAGTCGGCTAAAGTGGTTTTAATGATTTTTATTATTATTATTTTTTTGTTGCTCGGAAATTGTTAAAATTAAAATTAATTTCGTGCACAAGGAGAACGTATATACAATAATGAAACGCTTTTATAACTTTTTTCATTTTGCCATGACAAGGCACGCCGGCCCGAGACACCTCACTCTTGAACGGTATGATGTGGCATCTGTGATATGGTAAAGTTTTAAAATTAAACAAACATTTTACGAACACGTCGTATATCATAATATTTTTTCCACTCTACTCCTATATCGTATGGATATTCGTCCAAATCTATCCAGTTTGTCGTAAAATTGCTTTCTATGAACAATTATTTTTTATCATTGATTTATACTATTATACAAAATTACATTGCAAGTTAAACAACAGTTGTAATTATAAATTTCTCGTGACAGAACAGACTCGATACATTGAAGTATTAACTAATTGGCAACTAATTAAACATAAACGTTTACTACGCTTTTTGTATGAATATTATTCAACAATTTGCTATTACATTTTTAAAGGCTCAGCGAGTTAATACTTTTTTCTCACTCGTGAAGTTACGAGTCACTAAATTCTTATAGTAAAACTCAATTAAGTTACTAATTACTTTAAAAAATAATAACAAATTTTTAATTTAAGTTGGCTAATAAATATTTTAGTTGTTAAAAAAAAAAGTAATTTTTTTTTTGGATAGGGAATATAAACTCTAACTACCATAAAAACTACAAAGAAACATTTTATAGTATCACGAAGAAATACTCAAATATTACATAATTTTGTTACTGTTGTTCAAGACATGGGCAGTTATCTTAAGAGACCAATACCTTCATGGAGTACAATTCACATATTTTTTTCATAATCTTAAATTTCTAAGAAATGAAAAAAATAAAACCAAAGTTACTTATTAAGTTAAGTTGGTGTAAAACATTAACTAGTAAAGTCAATAAGTTAAACTAACTTAATTTTTACCTTTTTAACACGCCATTTGCTCAGATTTACATTTTTCAAAAATATGTAATAAAATAAAACGTTTAAATATTAATACACGCCAATTTTATAAACACAACGAAATATATTTTTGACCTCTAGATATCAAAATTGAAGGCTAGGATTATAAAAATAAAAAATTAATTGTGTTCATGTGATTAAAATGATCCATTGTTAATATTTCTTCTTTTTTTTTTTTAACTATACTTGCTTTATCATTCTAATATAGTAATTAAATGTATTGTGTTAAAATTTTGTTCTATTTTACATTTAATATTAATAGTAACATGATATAATTCGAAGTTTGACCCAACTGATATTAGTAGCATCAAGTATATTAATGGCTCAGACTTAATTACAATTTTAATTCAAATCATTCGAACTTCAGAAGTGTCATCTATCACATTGATTTACGATTGAATATTTATAGGGTAAATTTTTAGTGATAAAAATAATATAAATGTCTGTCGCGAAAATTAATTTATTGTTATTAATTGTATGGATACCGTACATTTTTTGTTTACAATTATGTTATTTTAACGGATTTGATGACTGCGCTACTGTTCAAGAACCTCAAAATTGTACGGCAATAGTTAATATTAAAACTCCAGCCGGCCAACTTTTAAAAGACAACGTCTTATCAATTATGATGGAAGGTTTGTCATGTATACGACTTTACTCAAAAGAAAATTGCGGAAAAGGATTAAAGGAAATGGTAGTGACCGAAGATGTTGAAGATTTAACATACTATTTTTTTGACGAAATGACTGATGCTATCGGTCCGTGTAATGATACAGAAAAATCTGTCAATATTACTCGTGTTATAAAATAATTTTTTATTGAAATATTAGCAATCTTCCATTGAAATTAATTGAAAATAACTTTGGTCAGTATCATTAATTTTTTTTGCTTATAATACTCATAATTGTTTAGTGGTCAGAGTTTATTAAGTAATGTTTCAAATATGTAATTTAAAATTATAAAATAACACTAAAATTAAATTTATAGAATTTTTAATTTTAAATATGAGAAAATGGTTCAATTTTTATGAATAAATCTCATTATTATTATGTTGTTAATATCATGTAAATATAAATAAAAAATTTTTACTCTAGTATAAGGTTAATGCTAATATGTTTATAAGATATTTTCAGTCGGTACTTAAAATTATATAGGAAAAGTCTATAAATTAATTATAAAAGTAGTACTTTTTGTTGTAGCAAAGATAATGCAACTGAATTACGAAAAGTCTTAACGTTTTTCCGAGTATTATGTTAATTTATTACACGTAAAGAAATAAAAAGTATACCTATCTATTTTAATGACTGATAATATAAATTAGTACAATTTAAAATGAATTATTTAAAAAATAAAGTAAAGATTGATCAATTCTTCGTTCTTTACAATTATAATTATTTGACGTCTTAACCAATAAGCAAACAAAAAGGCGTTTAAAGTATGTTTTATATATTTTTTGTTTAAAATAAAGCCTAAAATTACTATATTAATAGAATGTTGAGATATTATAATCCCTTAATGCACAATCAAATAATATTAGCACTTTGTTTTTGTTTTCAATGTGACAATTCCAATAATTTTAATGCGTTTTTTATGCTAATCAAAAAGTTTTGAGTTAAAAAAAAAAACGACATGCTTAAAAAGGTTTTAACCCTGTTATTTATATTTTATTTACCACTTTTTTATTCGGCTCGTTGGGATAATGGAGAGTGTTTTATATTTGTTTTCCCGGGTGTGTGCAAACGAAGACGGGCAAGTCCCAATAGAGATGCAATAACCGAAATATACATATATTTATATATAAATATATAAAACAAAAACAAAACAAACAAAAAAGCTTCAAAACTAAATTATAATAACAATGCTAAAAAGGTTTTTACATTCGGATTCCATTTACGTTTTGGACTACGGAGGTTGCTGAGAATAAATAAATCCATCTTTTTTCTTGCCCAATAGACAGGTTACATGTATACGCTATTATCGCCGGACAACTGGAAAATAGTGCACTCAGATACTCTCTTGACGTTCCCCAGACTACTTCTACAGCAAGTTGCGTTGACATGACAAAACATTATACTTAAAATTCAAAGAAAAGAAAAGGTTCCAGAAATATTATATAGTAGTACACTGCTATACATGTTACAGTATATTTCAGTCTTCTCCACTTTTCTCGTCTATACCTTAACTAACCATACATTAGCTATAAAACTAAGTTAAAACTGGCGTTTTATTCCCACTAAAACTTAACATTTATTTAAACGTGGTGGCTGGAGAAAAGCTAAATCGACCGCATTAATGCTAAACAATTTTAATCTGAAGTTGGTGAACAACGAAAAAAAAAAAAAAAAAAAAACGATATTATATTATTATTAAAGCTTGGTGTAATCACGACCATGATGAAGAAAGGGCGACCGGCTGGGATTAAAAGCAATTTTTCCATCGTTGTCCTCAAAAGGAATAACAATAGGGAGGGATATTGTCGATGAGGATAGAATGCGGGGTACGTGCCCCTGGCCCGTATGTGGAGGACGGGGAGGGTGATAGAAATAAATTACTTTCTCGGCTTATTATTATATATACACCAGAAGACAGAGTGCGTAGAGAGAGAACTGTGGCAGGGCCACATGGAAAATTGGAAAAGGCGCGAGAAAACTTTAACTGCCATCCCTTCCACCGCTATTGGAAGGCCACCTTAATTAAACGCGGGCACCCGGGCAGGGCTTATATATTAAAACGGCAAAGAGCTCCGGAGAGTCCGTTAATTATAAGCCTTTTATTATAACAAACCACCCCCGGTCTACCCTCGTGACACTCAAGCGCTAACAGCCGCGGTGGAGTAGAAGGGCTTGTAGGGTATTTGACGTTTTAACGCAAAGTTGGGATTAAAATCTTTTTGTGTTTAATACAAAATAATATCACAATTAGCAAGGATACATAAGCAGGCAAATATTATTCTTATATCTCTGTCCTAATTTTTTTATTAGTTTAACGATGGTAGCAATAATAATTGAATTAATAGGATATTTTATTATAT